AGGCAACGAAATGGATTTTCCCTTAGAGCATCCAGAATGAACACAGCCCTGCCAACACCTTTGATTTTAACCCAGTGAGACTCATTTCTGACATCCGTAACTGTAAGATAATAAATTTCTATTGTTTCAGTCACTAGGTTTGTGAAAATTTAGGGCCACAATAGGAAACAAATACACTAAGAAATAAGTAATCTATAAAGCAATCCGTAATGTTAGTTCCAAATGTATTCCAAATATATCTCAAGCATGTTCTCCAGCCAGGTCCTCTTACATTTCTATGGAGAGATGGACTTTCCAGTGTCATGAAAAATAAAATCAAGGGGCTTTAGAGGCTCCATGTTTCTCTCTATCCTGCAGTTCTTTAAAGGAGGGGAAGCGAAGGCACAGAAAAAAGCAGCTTTATACTGCTTTCAAAGGCAAAACAACATACTATTTAAAAAAAAACTGTAGATGGCACCAGAACCAGAGTGGGGTGATCGCTGGTTCTGTCTGCATTTGTTTTTCTTTAAGCAATCCAAGTCAGCCCTCATGGTGCAAAGACAAAGGACCCGAGAGTCCAAAGCCTTGGGTTCGACCATCAAGTTTATTATTTACTAGTTGTATGACCATGTACAAGTCTCTCAGAGCATTTCAGTGTTCTTATAGAGTAAAAGTGATGTAATGATTATAAAAGTACCTGTAAGTCAAAGTCCTACACCAAAGTAAATTAAGATAAGCCAGCCATCTCCTCAATCTCCAGTGCCTCCACTTCACTAACGATATACTTCCCTTTGCTTTTCCATCATTTGAGATCTATGTCATCTGTATTTGTGACTCTTCCTTCTTTATATCTGTATCATGGCTCCACAAAGCCTTATCTTGATATTCTGTCTACAAGGATCTTGGCCTTCCCTGCCCAAATTTTATCTTTATTACTCACTGTTTTGTTCTCTAATCGTTGCATCTGTAGCAGGTGTTTCCCCCAACTAAACTGTAATCTCCTCCAACATCATCTCATAGTCATTTATTCCACAACAAAAATCTAGTGTGGCCTAGAGTGAACAGAAAGACAAAAATCCCTCTTTGTGGAGGAGGTGAAAACAGGCCTGGCATAGAAAGGAGTTTCCCTATAAAGTAGAAATTCTGTGGGAGGGGAGCCAGATAATAGGCAATTCTAGCTAGAACAGGGTAAACTGAATTAGTGAGAAGGAACTGATCAGTAATGCAGGGTGGGAGAAGATGGGGTGGAAAGACAGATAAAAGACAATAAAAATAAATATGGAAATAAATATGTTAGAAGATAAGTGCCTAAGGAAAAAAGAAAACAGAGCAGGTGAAGGGGCTTGGACGTGGGCTGTAATTCTGAAGACCAAATATTTGAGACAACAGGTTTGAGCTCATTAGCTTATAAACCATAAACTCTCATCCACTAACCTAGCTTTCCCCCCCACATGAAGACATACACAAAACCTCCTCTAAATCAATAGAGACAAGAAACAAAGAAAGAAACAGCAAATGTACAAACATGTCTGGAAAACAATTTCAAACCACAGTCAACTAAATCAAGTTGAAGTACTCGGTAGCTTTGCTTTTGGAATCCAGCCTTCCTCACTTCCTAATTAGGAGAGCTTACTTTAGAGCAGCGGGTGCCCAACCTTTTGGGCACCAGGGACAGGTTTCATGGAAGACAATTTTTCTACAGACTGGTGGGGGCGTGGGGTGGAGGATGGTTCAGAGGGCACCCGCCTGCAGCCCCGGGGGTTGGGGACCCCTGCTGTAGAGCAGCTGGGTGAACTTTAGCCTATATTTCCTGTGCCAGCAAAAGAGAGAAACCTCTGGCCTACTTTGTAATCATTTAAATAATTTAACTCGAGAAGATACCTACAAGATACCTACAAGATCGAAGACTACAGCAGTGCAGAGAGCTGGATTATGCTAACACAAATTTCAAATATGAAAGTGTTACTTTGGTTGTAACAATCAACAGCTTTTCTCAATATTTAGTACCGGGGGAAAGGGACAGGATTAAGGAAGTGAGAGTCAAATTTAAATATACACCATCTACTAAGGTATTTGCCTCCAATTCTTTTCCTGTGAAATTATTCTACCACTTAGGTAATCAGGAATTTGGATTTAGAGTAAGAGTGGGAATTAAACAAGATATTTTGGTCAAGATGTGATTTTCATTTGATAGTCATACTCAGAATTATAGCACTCAGGCAGGAATGGGTTAAAACTTCAAGAAATACAAAGCAGCATCAAGAGATTTTAATCATCCATCATTAAACGTCATAATCTCATTAAATGTTTGGCAATGCCTTGGCATAGACTTTCAGTTAGGGTTAGGGTTAGTCTGTTGAGTCTAAATGGCAATCCAGGTGTGCAGGTAATTTTAAATTCCCTTTCTAGACTTTTTTTCAAATTTTATACATTGCTACTAAAAGGAGCAATAGCTATAATAAGCCATATTTTTTTAATTTTTAAAATTAATTTTTATTGGAGTATAGTTGATTTACCATGTTGTGTTAGTTTCTGCTGTACAGCAAAGTGAATCAGCTATACATATACATATATCCACTTTTTTAGATTCTATTCCCATATAGGTCATTACAGAGTATCGAGTAGAGTTTCCCTGTGCTATGCTGTAGGTTCTTATTAGTTATCTATTTCATATATGGTAGTGTGTATATGTCAATCCCAATCTCCCAATTTATCCCTCCCTCCCCAAGCCATATTTTCTTATAGGTTAAAACACAATGCAAAATATATACACACATGTGTATATATATATTTCTATAAAAAAACATAGAAAAACTAGGCTTGTAACCTTTTATCACATGTAAAATGTAAAAATTACTTTAAAAAAGTCTCATATCTGTATCAATAGAATCATAGTTCTTCAGGGCAGGTAAGAGTTATAACAGCTAACGTTTATTAACGTTAATAGTAGCACTTACTCCACAAAAAACTGCTTTACACCTAAAATTACTCCTTTAAAGCTCACAAGGTGGTATTATTCCCCATTTCACAAATGAGAAAACAGACATAGAAATTACTTGCCCAAGGTCACCAGAGGGTAAAAGGCAGAGCTACATTCAAACCCAGAAGTCAGACTCCAAATTTAATGCTTTTAATTGCATTACCTTAAAATCAATGGAGGGGAAGCTCAAAAATATACATTTGATATTTTTAAAGTGTTAAACCAAAAATGTGGAAAACAGACAAACTGTCAGGTCACATGACCAAATGCTATCAGTAGGTATGTGAGTAGTAAGGGAATGGGTGATTCTTTTTTTCTTAATCCCTTTCCCCAGTCTTCACAGCATTTCAATTTTCTGTAATCTTATGATTGATGCGCGCGCGCGCGCACACACACACAAAGCAGTCCTGTGGAGACTAAAAACATTGATCGAAATAAGAAAGCAGAAGAGATTCAATCATTTGAAATTAGTCCCTAACAGTAAAGGGAGATTCCAGGCACTCCTCCAAAAACAGCATGTGGTATTACCCCGGGGGGTTCAGAAGGAGGAAGGCATATTATAAATTATATTTCTAATTAAATAACCGATATTAAGTACAACATGCAATAAAAAGTCACATTTCACCTTAAGATTTGAGATGGAAGGAAAATGCTTGATTTTCCACAGTCACTCACTTTAACTCTTTCACTGCCAGTTTGAAGACAAAAAGACAATATAGCTAATGCAAGCTAACTGGGTATCGTCAGAAACAAGGGTAGAAATAGTTGTAAAGTTATCTAACATCTTGCTCCTTAAGAAAGAGGGTATCTGCGTATTTAAAAAAAAATGCTTCTTCTAGCAAATTGCAGAACCTATCCCTTGAAAATCAATATATTATACGTTCATACTGGGATTATTGGAACTGCAAGAGTTGAGCTTCCTATTGAAGCGTGGTAATAGGTACAAAAAAGGTTTGGGGGAAAAGGGGCAGGGAATGGCAGTAATTTGCAAGGCTGGTTAATTTCATACAAGGTTTTAAGATGCCTCTTGTTACAGGCAAGGTGCAATGGAGCCACAAAGATGTGACCGACTGGACTGTCCTAGTCCTCCTAGTCCTCCCAATCTCGTAGGAACAGGCTCAAGGCCATCATTAAATGAAATAAGAGGAGACCAGCGGAAAGTGCCAGACCGGGTGGACAGGGCTCAGAAACGTTAGGGCTTATGGAGCCCGAAATCGCTGCAGGACTCATGAGAGAGGAAATGTCAGTCCCAGCGCCAAGGAACAAGAGACCAGATCCCAGAGCAGCATCCCTCCCCCTTATCCAGGGCTGGGACCGTGGGCCGGGGCAGGGAGGTGGCAGCGATGGGGAGACGAGGCTCCGGGGAAGCTCGGGTCTCCGTAGGAGTTATGCCCGGGGCTGTTGGGCGCCCTCAACCAGGCCTCACCTGGGCAGCGGAGCATCCTGGAGGCAGTGAAGCGGCTGAGGCTGCCAACTGCCCGGGAGGCCACCATCTTGAGCAGGAGAGGACGAAAGTGGAAGGCGCTTCAAGTCGGGGGAGTCAAGCAGAGGACTTTTCTTTCCGTAGCCTGGCTCTGGCCAGGTGCCCGATGTACTGCCTGACTAAAACTGCTATGGCGAGCTGCCGCCGGTTCCTTAACCTCGCCCTTTGCTTCTGGCTAACCGGGCGGAAAGGACACCTTCTCCGCGGGGAGGAAGGAAGGTCAGGGAAGAGGGGGGACAGAGTTCCGGATTTTCCAATCAGGCAGCCGGAGGGCAGCCCGGAAGGCCTGCGAAGCCCGCGGAGCCGGTGGGAAGGTTGAAGGGTCCTTTCCAGGTAGGGCCCGCCCCTTGAGCCAGTCGGGGCCCGTCGCTCGGGTCCAAACCTTCCTGGCAGCGGGAGTCTGAGCCCACGCGAGCTAAGGTGAGGAGGTGGGTGCGCTCGGCTTTCCGCCTGGCTTTTCCCCGGCGAGGTCCGCACTTCCTTTCCCACCTACTACGCCCGCGGCCTCCTCCTCTCCCTGGGGCAATGGAGTTCGAGGGAGCGGAAGGAAGCTTCTCAATGGGGCTCTCCCGTACCAGTGCAATTTGGGCAGTAATTTGGCCTAGCCTTCGGTCTGTAGCTCAGAGCAGCAGTGTCGCCTGTGTCTTTTAATTTATCACCGCATGTTAACGAACTGTTGCCTTGTGTTTGTGTCGGTTTAAAGCGCTGGCTTGTGTTCCAGTGTTGTTGTTTCACCTGATTTGCCTGGAGCCAGGCCGGCGGCAATAGAGATTCGGTACAGGGCCCGGGATTAACCCCTTTTATGTTACTGAGGGTGGGTCTCGGTCGTGTGGCTTTTTCGGGACTCGAATGTGGGAGGAGCTGAGACATGCCTGTGTCCCGCTCCGAGATCCAGGGCTCAAGATTATTTTCTAATCCAGAGGGGACCCGGAGACCATCTGGTCATTCATCATCCCCCTTACTTTATCGGTGAAGCCCATGAATCAGGGTGAGTGAGTCTACCCATGACCACAGGTGGTAGAAATAGGCCTAGAGGTCTGCTGACTTCTAGTCAAGAGCTCTGCATTGCCTGAAAGCTGTTTTTGTGCTGGAAAGATAGGCTTGAGTCCTGGAATCAAGTGATTGACTACAAAAAGTAATGTTGAGGGCCCTCTAGGCCCTTTCACCGCCCTCTCATTTAATCTTCACTATCCCAAAATTGTTATTTACATTTTGTAGGTGAAGTTTGGGAGGCTCGGAGGTTATATAAATTTTCTGGTAGGTGGCAGGGCCAGGATTCGGCTATAAGTTTAAGTCTCACTGTTCACCAGATTGACTGTTCCGCAGGAGAGGGAGCAGGAAGAGGCAGGGGGAAATGGCAGGGAAGTTGAGACTGAATTGAGGAGTATGGAAAGAAAGAAGAGAGGTTTCTATTTAAAGTTCAAGTCAAATAGTGAATCCCCCATCACTGTGAACACCTTAAGCAGAAACTGCATGAGCAGTGATCTCTTAATTTGCGGAAAGGATTCTTGATGACTTCCAAAGGCCCTCCATCTCATAAGGTTTTTACAGTTCAAAGCTTGCCTCCTGCCCACATAATGCTCTTTCTGCATCTAATTCGGTGTAGCACTTACTGTTTAGATAGAGAGTGGCAAACTTTTTCTGTAAAGGGCCAGATAGTAAATAGTTTAGGTTTCACAACCCACATTGATCTCCGTCACATATTCTTTGTTTTGTTTTGCTCTACAACTTTTTAAAAATGTAAAATCTGTTGTTAGCTAGAGGCCCATGGGTTGAAGTTTGCCATCCCCTGATTTAGGTCACCCTTTTGGCTCTTGATGTTTTTGTTTCCTGTATTCTGAGCAAAATCATAAGCTCCATCAAGGGCAGAAATATTATGGTTCTCACTGTGTCTTACATAAAGGGCAACTAAATACATTTATACCATCACCCACTAAAATTAATAGCAAACACATGTATAACCCTTACTATGTATCAGGCACTGTTCTAAGTGCCATATATATATATATATATATATATATATATATATACACCTCACAACAACCTATGAAGTAGGTACTTTAATTATCTACAGTTTACAGGTTCATCTTACAGATGAATTATCTACATCTTACTCCTAAAACAGAGAAAGAAACTGGCCTTTGGAGGTCATCAAGAATCCTTTTTGCAAATTAAGTAGCTTGCTTAAGGTCATACAACTAGGGTACAGCCAGGATTTGGATTGGGCGGTTTGCCTTTAGTGTTTGAGCTATTAAGGATATTGTGAACTGTGTCTTAATGATGCTGTAATAATGAGCTGTTAGAGCCACTCCATCTTGCTTTCATTACTTGTTTAGCCCCTTCTTCACGTTACTTGCTCCTAGGTTCCTGCAACTTCATGCATCTTTCTATATAGTTTCACACCCTACTCAAGCCTACCCAGGCTCCCCAAATCCTTGAGTCAAAATGTATTTCCTAAAGCTTAAAGCAGATGACAATAACTAAGTCATATATTGCTTAGTCCTTTCTTTTGAAATCTGTCTCTACTTTTTATTAATTTTTGATGGGATGTATATTCTATTTAATTTTTTTCCCAGAAACTTCAGGAAGTCTAAAGAAAATAAATATACCAATAACTCCACCACCCAAAGATAACTACTGTTAACATTTGCTTTGTATTTTTCTGGACTTTTTAATTTATGTTTTCATCTATCTATCAAGATACTAGTATATGCAGATTTTCTATAAAACCAGAATTATACTGTACATTAAAAATAAGATGCTCATTGTAAAAAAAAATTTTAAGAAGACAGAAAAATATAAAATGAAAGTCCCTCTTTATCTCTTCCATATATAGATTCAGCTTTATGGATTTTCGTCTCTTTCTGTCATAAAATGGAGTCTTACTATATATATATATATTATTCTGCAGCCTGCTTTTTCATTTAATATATGTTGTAGGCATCTTTCCATGTCAGTATATACATGTATGTCATTATGTTTCATTTTTCTTTACGAACTGCTGAACAGTATTCCATGGTATGTTTGTAATACTATAATTTATTTAACCATTTCCTGCTATGTGCATCTACATCTTGAGTATTTCTATTGGCTAGAGATCTATGATTGCTACATGTACAACTTGAATATTTCTGTTGCTTAAAGACCAATAAGAAGAATTACTAGGCTCAGAAATTCACAATTCAGAATCTGAGAGAGAAATAAAAATTGCCTTCCAAAAAGACCTTACCAGTTATACTTTTATCAACTGTATATGGAAGTGCTTAAATAGATCCATTCTCACTAGAATTGTGTGCTAACTATATTTTTTAATTTTTGCCACTTAATAACCCCAAAATGACCTTGTTTTAATTAAAAAAATTTTTTATTGTTAGTGAGGTTGAACATTTAAATTTTTATTTATTTGACTTTTTTTTTCTTCTGCGAATTGCTCATTTGCTCATTTTTCCTTTTGGTCATGTTTCAGGAAGGAGTCTCACAGCTGCAAATAACAGAAAATTAAACTTAAATTGGCTTAATAAAGGGGATTTGTTGACTCACAGAACGGAAAAGCACAGTGAGAGGGTGGGTTTCAGATATGATTCAATCAGGGCTCTAGTTTCTTTTTTCTGAATTTTCAGCTCTGTCCTCCTTTGAGACCAGCTCTACCTTTACACTAGCTTTAATCATGTTTGCAAACTGCTCTAGCCATGCCAAGCCTCAGAAGGAAAGATGTATGTTCCAGAATTCCAGGCAGAAGACTTGAATGTCAGACTGACTAAGACCATCCCTAAATCGATACCAGTGATCAAGGCAATACCATGCATGATTATTTTAGGCCTTGGTTGCCTGAACCAAAGAGAATGAGATTATTCTGATTGGTTTAAACTGGAGTTGAGCTGGATTCAGTCCCATGTAAACCACATGTGGCAACTACATAATGGGGTGAAATGGATATTGGGGTGAAAACCACAGATACCATTATAGATTGTTTCTCTTTTTCCTGTAATTTGTAGAAGTTCTTTATGGAGTATGGGATTTAACCCTTTGTTTTCCATGTTACAAATACTTTGTCTGAATCTGTTGTTTGCCTTTTAACTTTATTTTAGTGTCTTTTGCTATGTAGATATTTTAAATGCTTATTTAATCAGTTCTTTTAGTTATTCTTTTCCATTATGGCCTCTGGGTTTTATACCATATGTTGGAAGCCTTTCCCCAAGATTATAAAAATATTCTCTGATATATTCTTGTAGTAAGCTAGAAAAATATATATTTAGATTAATGCATCTGTAATTTGTACTTACAGTGTGAGCTATGGATCTAATTTTTTTCCAAATGGTTAGCCATTTTCCCAACAAATCTATTGAGTAATTCACCTTTCTCCCATTTATTTGAAATGTTATCTTTATTACATACTAAATTCTCATACACATGAGTATGCTTCTGAACTTGCTACATCCTGTTTTGTTGATTAGTTTCATTTATTACTGTGCCAAAATTGAACTGTTTAATTACTGGTACTTTATAGAAAGTTTTGATATCTGTTAGAGCAAGGTCCCCCTTTTTTTCAATCAATATTTTCTTGACTAGTTTCATTTTATTTCAAGAGGAACTTTACTTATGGGGATTTATATTCCAGACTCAAGTGGCATCAAATGTAGCTTCTGGAATAGTGGTGCCCGTCTCATGGGCCAATTTGTGTCTCCCGGGCCAGAGTCCCTTGAGTATACCTAGGCTGGTAAGCCTAGAGGTTGGACTCTTCCATCTCTTTCCAATCCATATATTTGGTAAATATGATTTTTTTTTTCTTTTTGGAAGCCACAGGGCATCTCTTTTTAGTCAATGAAGACCTAAGAAAAGTTAAACAAGGCTTTTATATTGGCTGTTGCTGTGTAACAAATTACTCCAAAATTTAGCAGCTTAAAACAGTAAAAATTGATTATCTCATACAGTTTCTGACTGTCAGGAATTTGGGGGCAAATTAGCTGGGTCGTTCTGAATTTGACTTTCTCATGAGGTTGCAGTCAGAATGCTGGCGAGGGCTGTAGTCATCTGAAAGCTTGTCTGTGCTGTGCTAGAGGATTCACTTCCAAGCTCAGTCACATGGCTGTTGGCAGGAGGTGTCAGTTCCTCATCACCAGAGCCTCTTCATCGGGCTGCTCCTGAGGTGCCAGCTGGCTTCCCCTAGACTGAGTGATCTGAGAGACGGACCAAGACGGGAGCTGCAGGATCTCTTAACAGCCTAATCTCAAAAGTGACATCTCATCATTTCTGATGTATTCTATTGTTTACACAGACCAACTATGTAAATAAAAATTCAGGGAAGTGGAATTACTGATCAAAAGTTAGGTGCAGTTGCAGTTTTTTGACAGTTACAATAATTGCCAAATTGCCCTCCATAGTGATGCATCTGTGGAGATGCCATCAGTTTACACCCTCAGCAGCAGTATATGAGAGAGCCTGTGTGTGCAGACTACCACATAATGAATATCAGACCTTTAAGTCAAATATTATACCTCTGTGCAGTTTTAATTTGTATTTCCCTTATGAATGAGATTGAACATCTTTTCATGTATCTAAGAGCCATTTGTATTGATATTTCTATTTCTGTAAACAGTTTGTTCATATCCTTTGTCAATTTTTTTCTTACTGATTTGTAGGAACTCATTTTTGGGAATTTAGGGAAGTATTTAATATATTTTATATATTCTTTTAATATAGAGGGGTTTATATTTTTATTATTTTGAAATAATATCAAGCTTATAAAAAAGTAGCAAGTGCAGTGTACGAACATTTTTTTCTTACAGCAGTTAAGATGTGATACTGCACTATCTCTGAATACTTTAGTGTGTATCCCCTTCAAATACAAACATTCCATAAGGCATTCTGCATAATCACAATACAACCATCAAAATCAGGAAGTTCACATTGGTAGCTTCATGATCATGTCCAGCAGGCTCTACTCCTTTGGCCCTAGAGAAAAGCATAAACTCTGGAGCTAGACTATCTGGCTTCAAATCACAGCTCTGCCTCTTACTAGTCTTTCAATCCCTGTATGCCTCCGTTTCTCATCTCTTACGAAGGGTGTAATAATCATGCGTACTTCATAGGTCCTTGTGAGGATTAGATGGGTTACTGCTTAGATTAGTGGTTTGCATACTTATGTCAGTGTAGCTATTATATTATTAGAGGAAGGGTAGTTGGTAATAGAGTAAATTTTAAAGTATTTTATAGTAGTTATGGATGAGATATCAGAGATCATAGACTACACTCTAAGCTACAGATTGTTCAAATAACCCAGAAAGTCTTTGTTCTTCTCTTTTTAGATTTAAGAATGACTTCCCTTTTGACTTACACTTTAAAATATCTTCCCAGTACATCACAATGGGCCCTCAGATTTTGTAAGTTTCATTTGTTCTTTCTTTTTAAGATTAGATTTGGTTGTGTAAGCATCTTGCGCAGACATGGAATTGTACTGCTTTTTGTAAACCCTTTATTTTGTCTTCCAGCTATGAGACCTCTGAGCTGTTCCTCCCAGTTACGAGCTGCCACAGGTACAGTAATTTGTAAAAAAAAAAAAAAGGAAAGAAAGAAAAGAAAAGAAAAAGTCTGATTTAGAAGTTAGATTCTAGAATCTAAATTTGTGAATTTTGAATGAAAACCAAAACTAGTTTGCTAACTCTCCCTTTTTTTGAGCAACATGAACATCACTGTTGCCTTTAAATTAAAACAATATAGGACCAATCAGTAACAATAGTACATGGTGTAGGGTGGGCTCGAGGATGTTGACAGGAGGCTGCTTTCTGGGATGTGGAGCCTGATGGAGTCACAGAGGTTCCATGAACCTTACTGGTCAGTTTAATCAGCTACTGGCTGTCAGTCCTAGAGATGATTAGCTTACAAACACTCTGGAGACTGCTGTGGAGCCAAAAGGTAACTTTTTAAACTTTCAGTGACAGACTTCTCTTAATGAATATCCTCTTAGTCCACGTGCAAGAGGATGCGGGCATGAAATAGGTGTGACTCTGGAACCAGTTAATAACAAAAGGTTGTTTAGTCAGTATAAAATGAAAAAGGAAGGAAATTTGTTGATTTTATATGGTCTTTTAGACCCTTGGTAAAGACTTCTTCACTGTTGAATACATACTTTTGCAGAACCTACTGTAGGTATGTATCTTCACTGGCCGGTGCTAAAAATACCCAGACAGGTTCTCCTTGCCTGGGTCCTGTATTGACTATGACTTCTGATTTTGGTTTTATTATGTTGTTCCTACTTGAATAATAGCTTAATAGAAAAAGCGTCTTACTAGGATTCAGAAGACCTCTGCTCTGTTCCAGTTCTACTTCTTTCTGGGCAGTTTGGCCTTGAACCGATCACTTTACTTCCCTGTGCTTTAGTTTCTTTATCTAAAAAGGAATAATAATTTTAGTCTTGTTAACCTCAAGTAGTTATGAAGATATCTCACAGCACTTTGAAAACTGTAAACTCAGTTTAAGTACAAGATGGGAATTCCCTGGAGGTCCAGTGGTTAGGACTCTCTGCTTCCACTGCAGGGGGTATGGGTTCGATCTCTGGTTGGGGAATTAAGATCCCACATATCACGTGGCTTGGCCAAAAAAAAAAATATATATATATATATATATATATATGTACAAGATGATGTTTTTATATTGTTTTACATAAGTATATTATCAGGGGTCTGTTGCCTAATCTCACCTAGAAAAGTTTCACGTTGTCATGTCACAAATATATTTTCTGTGGCCTCTAAATTCTAATTAGAATATAGATTTGTATAGGCTCACAAAGAATAATTCCTTTCTATCTCATTTCACCTTTTCCCTAATTCTGATGTTCACCCAGGACTTTGCAGTCAGACAGACAGATCTGATTCTTTGCCGACTGGAGGAAGGTCACATTGAATACCAACAGAGGGAAGGCATTTTTCTGGCATATAGAGTATTCTTCACATTGCTCTTAAAGTGTTTTGTGTTTCTGTCTCCCCAACTATGTTGTGAGCCCTTCTGAGACTTAAGCCTTTTAGAGTCCCTGGTGTCTAACACTGTCCTAGCGATTTGTGTTAACATTGTTGGTGATAGTGGTGCAAGAGGGTACATGATAAGACAAAGGAATGTGACCAGCTGATTTGAGGGGAGGGAGTGGGAATGTACCCATGCTGAACAGGTTTTAGGTTGCAATAATTTTGTAACTAATTCCTCTTGAATTGCATGTGAATGCTTGATGGTGCTGTTAGGATGAAGGAATTAGAATACAGGGATACAGGTTTATTGATGTTTCCAGTCATCAGATTGACTGGAAATGTGTCTGATAGAAATTTTGTCTTATTCAATGGCTATATATACTATGCATCTTCCTTGACTTACAATAGGGTTACATCCTGACAAATCCATCATAAGTTGAAAATATTGTAAGTCAGGACTTCCCTGGTGGCGCAGTGGTTAAGAATCCGCCTGCCAATGCAGGGGACACGGGTTTGATCCTTGATCCGGGAAGATTCCACCTGCCACGGAGCAACTAAGCCTGTGCGCCACAACTACCGAGCCTGCGCTCTAGAGCCCGCAAACCACAACTGCTGAGCCCGTGTGCCACAACTGCTGAAGCCCATGCACCTAGAGCCTGTGCTCTGCAACAAGAGAAGCCACTGCAATGAGAAGCCTGCACACCACAACAGAGTAGCCTCCACTTGTCACAACTAGAGAAACGCCCATGCTCAGCAACGAAGACCCAGTGCAGCCAAAAATAAATGAATAAGTTTGTTTAAAAAAAAAAGAATATATTGTAAGTCAAAAATGCATTTAGTACATCTAATCTACCAAACATCATAGCTTAGCCTAGCCTACCTTAAACGTGCTCAGAACACATTGGGCAAAATCATCTAACACAGGCCTATTTTATAATAAAGTATTGAATGTCATGTAATTTATTGAATATTGTACTGAAAGTGAAAAAACAGAATGGTTGTATGAGTATAGAATGGTTGTAAGTGTATTGGTTGTTTACCCCTGTGATTGTGTGACTGACTGGGAGCTATGGCTCACTGCTGCCCAGCATCATGAGAGAGTATCATACCACTTACTGCTAGCCTGGGAAAAAAATGAAAATTCAGAATTCAAAGTATGGTTTCTACTGAATGTGTATTGCTTTTGCACCATCCTAAAGTTAAAGATTCATAAGTTGAACCATGGAAAGTCAAGGACCATCTGTTTATCTATATATCTATATCCACAGACATACATATATATAAAACAATGGTATAATACATGGCATGTCTTCTCTCTGCTTTGATTGATTTTTTTTTTTAAATGAAAGGGTTTTTTGTTTATTTATTTATTTATTTTTGGCTGCATAGGGTCTTCGTTACTGTGTGCGGGCTTTCTCTAGTTGCGGTGAGCGGGGGCTACTCTTCGTTGCAGTGCGTGGGCTTCTCATTGCAGTGGCTTCTCGTTGCGGAGCACGGGCTCTAGGCACGTGGGCTTCAGTAGTTGTGGCACGCAGGCTCAGTAGTTGTGGCTTGTGGACTCTAGAGTGCAGGCTCAGTAGTTGTGGCGCACAGGCTTAGTTGCTCCGCAGCGTGTGGGATCTTCCCGGGCCAGGGCTCGAACCCGTGTCCCCTGCATTGGCAGGCGGATTCCTAAGCACTGCGCTACCAGGGAAGCCCCAAGTTTGCTCTTTTGATGTTAGAAAATAACGAGACAAATGGAGCCAGAATTCAGGAAGCATTCTGGGTTTTTGTAGAATGGCAGTAGTCACCAACCAAATGCCTTTATTTCTACATAGAAAAGCAAGAATATTAAGCTATATGAAGACTAAACGATATCAGTCATTGTAACTTCTAATATTAAGGGCAGACTTAATTGGTTGCTTTCAGTGGAATAGATTGTCAAACATTTGATTGAAAAAAACAAAAAAACAATTTGTTAATGGTATAAACAACCTTATCATTAGGTATAATCTCTGTATCTACCTTAAATATTTTTTGGAAATTTGTAAATGCTAGTTAATTTCTTAATCCCTTTTTTTTTTTTTTTTTTAGTTGAAGTGGTTTGCTAAATGACAAATGCAACTTGGCATTGAATGATATAATTCTTCTTAGAATGTCTGTCTTTAAAAATGTAAAAAGTCATTTGACTTCATATATTTTATTTTATTTTTTTAAGATTTTTTTCATGTGGACCACTTTTAAAGTGTTTATCGAATTTGTTACAATACTGCTTCTGTTTTATGTTTTTGTTTTTTTTTTGTCCCTGAGGCATGTGGGATCGTAGCTCCCTGGCAGGGATCCAACCCGCACCCCCTGCATTGGAAGGTGAAATCTTAAACACTGGACTGCTAGGGAAATCCCTGACTTCATATATTTTAGTTAATTGTTCTTTGAACTTTCTCTTAAAGCTGTCCAGGCGAAATCGAAGCAAACTTTAGCCAAACCCAACATAAGGAACATTGTGGTGGTGGATGGTGTCCGCACTCCATTTTTGCTGTCAGGCACTTCGTAAGTATGAAATGATTTTGTTACATGTTCTTTCTTTCTGTCTTTTTCTTTTTTCTCTCCAGCTGTATTGAGGTGTGGTTAACAAATAATAACTGTGTGTATATATGTGTGTGTGTGTGTGTGTGTGTGTGTATACATTGTGAAATGATTATCACAGTCGAGTTAATTAACACATCCATCACCCCATGTACTTTATTTATTCCTTTTTTTAAGGCACTTTCAAAAGGGATCTTTGTCAGTGTAACCCAGTAGGTAATACTATTGCTAGTGGACTAATATATGAAAAACATTTTCATGAAATTAATACAGAATAAGTCAAGCCAGTGGTGAAATAATGTGACAAAATCTGTTTTTTATCCATTCTGCTGAGTAAGCCTCATGTAGTGTTAGATTGAACCAGTCATATTTTAAAAACCTAGTGTGGGACCAGATAGTTTGCTTCTAACAGAGATATCCTTTCCTCATCTGAAGATAACTACTGTACGTTGTTTCTGTGCCTCTTCAGAAGTTTGAATATGGAGAATGTGGGCCCATGGGCATTCTGAAGGGCCTTTAATCTGTGGCTTTGGTTTCCTGGAAATTATCAGAATTGGAGTTGATGGACTGGTCCAAACCCTGGTACAGCACAACCCCAAATAAATGGAATAAGAATGATCCTAGACCAGCCCCCAAGTTCCCCAGAACCAAACTGCTATTCTCCCTAGACTTTTCTCCTCCTTTTTTGTCCCCAAGTGAGGCCAGGCTGTCCAGAAGTTGGCGATGGACTTTGGGGACTAGGTGCAAACTAAATGCAACATTGGTTCTATTCTGTTTAGATTGTTCTATTGTTTGTATTTTGAACTAACAGTTACTAACTTAAAAATATTGCTAGGGAATGTCAGGCATCTGCTAAAAATAACAAGACCTTTCTGTACTAATATGGGAAGATCTTGAAGATATGTTAGGTGTAAAAAGCAAGGTTCAGAGCAGTGTGTATAATGGCACCATTTGTGGAAGATACAGACCTGTGTGTGTGTGTGCGCGCGCATACATACACAAACAATAAACATTCATTTTTAAACGATGGTTTAGAACCTAGAGAGTATTTTCTTATATAAGGGAATGCTGGTGAAGTTTCTTCATTCACCCTCTCTCTCTCAATATAGTATTATAACTTTCCTGTACTGACACAACAGCAGTAAGAGTAAGAATCTGAAGCTTTAGCAGCAGGGAAGTGATGAGAGGGGATCCTCCTTGTATTCAGCAGTAACAGCGTAGGAAAAGAAAGTTCCATCAAGAGAAGAAAGTTCTTGGCTAGGAAGACCATTTTTTTTGTAAGGGCTCTTTGTATACTGTGTAGAAGTTTGATTCCAACTGTTTTACTAGCTGTTAAAAAAAATAAACACTCAACTATATTATTTACTTTATTTAAACATTTGCTTTGATAATTGGTATTTGCGTGAAGTTTGAGATATTCAGCACATTAGCATATGGTTTATTCTTTCGTTGTGTTTTATTATTGTGTTTTAGTTTAATTTAGGATCCTAATTGAGAAAGAAGATAAAGTTCATGTGTAATTTAGTAACACAGAGAAGAGCATTGAGTGACGTAAGAAAATTAATAGAGAAGAAAGAATAAAAATTTTAAGGTAATATTCATGTACAGAACAAAAGTGACCAAAAAATAATATAGAAGGAAGAATTTATAAAGAAGACAAATAGTTAAGTCATATTATTAATCTTATAATTGAGGTGACAAATGAGTCTTCTATAATAGAAGATCATTTTCTAGGTAGAAAAAGATTTTTTTCTGTTTAATTTGAAGAAGCTTTGCTTTCAACTTGAGTGATATTTGAAAGACCAAGTTTTTCTTAGAGGTAGAAAGCACTTTGGAAGCACTCCTAGGAGTACACTGCAACAGTGACATTTGGGAGTCTCTCAGGCATCCTGGTAGAGAGAGGTATAGGAGCATGAGAATAAAGATTGTAAAATGCTAAATAATTATGGTTCAGACATTTTAAAATTGACACACAACTTTTTCCCAAGTTATTCTGCTCTAAATTTGAGGGAACTGGTTTTACCTATGAAAGATTTTTAAAACTACTGATGATTCTTCTGTGATTCAGAGTAAAAATAAAAACAGTTTTGGATTTTTTAGGTTTTAATTTTTAGGAATTTAAAGAATGAATATTCTTATTTAATCCAATGGTTAAATCTTTGACTTAAAAATAAAGGGCAGTGGTTGAGAGTCCGCCTGCCGATGCACAGGACACGGGTTCGTGCCCCAGTCCGGGAAGATCCCACATGCCGTGGAGCGGCTGGGCCCGTGAGCCATGGCCACTGAGCCTGCGCGTCCGGAGCCTGTGCTCCACAACGGGAGAGGCTTGCCAGTTTTTTAAGGATGACAAATAGCAAAGTCACAGTATTTCTTCATTTGGAATGATGTTAAGTACATTTATAGCATCATATGTTAGATTATTTCTTTAGATATTTCAAACAGAATGAAAAACATTTTTTATTAAAGCTCTAGGCTTTTGGTTTAAATTATTTTCTTTCCCCAGATATAAAGACCTGATGCCACATGATTTGGCTAGAGCAGCGCTTTCGTAAGTAAATGCAGTTTCATTTTAGTTCTTACTTCATTAAAAGTACTTTTCTCCAGTTTTTACACTTGAAATAGCATGTTTAATGGAATTTCCATATTTAAGATACGTTAACTTTTATGTGGTGAGAAAAAACAGTAGATTTTACAAGATTCATTTATTCTTCATTTTAGCCATATGTGCTACACAAATTCAAGCAGCTGGTGAATGTCAGCGACCTTTATTTTGTAGATGTGACTATTTCTTGGCATGACAGTATTCCTTAATGAGTACTGTAGCTAGCTGCCGGTTGTAAACAATGTAGGGCTGGATTGATCAGGCTAGTCCTACATTGATCAGGCTAAATACAATACATATATTTGATGATTATCTTAGAAACTTTATACTGTACGGGGATAGCTGAACAAATAATGCAAATACAGATGCAGAACCTGTGTATACAGAGGACCAACTGTACTATGCCATTTTATTTAATGGACATGAGCATCCTCAGATTTTGGTATCCCTGGTGGGATGGGGATGTGGTTATTTATCTAGAAAAAAGCCTAGAATGAGACCTGAAGGTTCCTGTGCAAACCAAATAAAAATGTAAAATTAGATGTGGTTGCATGAGATTGAGATGGAAGAATAATTTGATGAGAGTCAACATGTAAGGCATTATCATTCATTGATGCTTTGCCTTTGTGTCTTTAAGCAGCTACAGGTCTTTCATAGTTTGAAGAAACCCTTATTTGCACCTTTCTGCCCATCTTGTTCTGTTTGCTCTCTTCCTGCCAGCCTCTAAGAATGAATGAAAGCAGCAGTTGCTTTTCTTTTCTTACTATCCATTTATTCTCCTTAATCTCATAATTGCTTCCATTCCCATTGCTCTACAGTAACTATACTTTGGAAGCTTCTCTTAATAATGACTGTGTAATCACTAAACGCACCAATGTTTTCTCAGACCTCAATGACTTTGTCTTCTGTAGCATTTGACACTGTCAGCTGTACTTGAAACTGTCTTCCTTTGACTTCATGTTATGCCATTATGGTTTTCCTTCCATTTTCTGACTGATTCTTTTCTATTTCTTAAAAAACTGGATCCCTTCTTCTATCTCTTTTTTAAAGGTATTTTGTAAGTTTTAGTCCTTAGAACTTTGCATTTCTCTGTATGCATGCTTTTCCCTAAAAAATCTCATCTACTTAATCTTTATTTTTTTATGTAGAGGACTTCCGAATCTCTAAATTTGACCTCTTTTCTTAGGTATCTCAAGCTCAGCATGTAAAAAATAAAAATTATCTTTTCCCTGAAGCCAGCTTACTTTCCCATTCCTGTTAATGGTGCTGTTTCTGATTATGGTCCCAGGCTGGAGATTTACAGGTTTTTCCTCAATTTTCTGTCTTAAAAAATGTCAACTATACAATAAAATTGAAAGTGAACATCTAAAATACCCCTCACTTAGCATTAATAAGTGTTATTATTTGCCATGTTTTCTATAGCTGTATGGTTTGAAGCATTTGACATTGTTTCAGGCATCTTGATACTTCAGCCTTAAATTCTTCAGCTAGTACTTCTAAGAATGAGGACCTTCTCTGTTATCCACAATACCATTACCATAGCTAAGATGGTAATGATTGTATGATTACTTCTAGTATCCAGTTCATAGTCAAATCCCCCACACTTGTTTCAAGAATGTCCTTTCTTTTAATTTTTTTTTTCCAAACCAGGACCTGGTCAAAGTTCATATTACAAATGAACATGTCTCTTTGGTCTCTTTGAATTTAGGATATTCCTCCACTCCGCCCACCATGAGAGTGACTTTTTGAAAAGACCAGGCCAGCTGGCCTGTAGATTGTCCCACATTCTGGATGTTTCTTCGTAGTAATATTTAACTTTCCTCTGACTTTCCTATAAACTGGAAGTTAGATCTCTAAGCTTGATTAGATTCAGGTTAAACATTTTTTGTTAAGAATGCTTCATAGGTAAAGTGCATGGGTATTACATCATGTTAAGAGGTGCATGATGTGTAATGTTAAATCTAATCACTCGGTCATGGTGATCAGACCACTAGATCTCTTGATTACAAAGGTGTATTTTTTTCCTTTGCAATTAGTAAGTCACCTGTAAAGTGATATCTTAACACCACGTAAACATCTTGTTCCCCAACAACCTTTGACCAAATGGTCTTAGCATTCATTGATAATTTTTGCCTGGATTAGTTATTACATTAGAGATTACAAAATTATGACTTTGATCATTCTTTTATTCCTCCTATATTTATTGGTTGGTATTTTTCTGTAAAGAACAGCTTTCCTTTTTTTTTTTTTTTTTAAGTGATGTGGACTTATAAATTTTTATTTATTAATTGTGTTAAAGCCAAGCTTGGTCACTGTTCTTTTTGAAGCTCAGATTATCCCATAGTTTATCTGTGTGAGTTCCTTCAGGTTGGCTTCTATGGCCCTTTTGTTTTTTAGTATAATATTGTTTTTTGAGTGTAATTTGCATACAATAAAATGCACATATTTTTAAGTATATAGTTTTATGAATTTTGTCAAATGTGTACACCCTTGTTCCTGTTTTTGCTATGGTCCCATTAATCTTTGAGTGCTTTCTTATTTTTGGCACAAAAAAGAGAGGTTCACTTTGTACTTTTCTTGCCTTAGACCTGGCCTCAGTCATTTTTTAAAAAGTTAATACCTTTAGGGCTTCCGTAGCAGCACAGTGGTTAAAAACCCACCTGCCAATGCAGGGGACACGGGTTCGAGCCCTGGTCTGGGAAGATCCCTCATGCTGCGGAGCAACAAGGCTTGTGTGCCACAACTACTGAGCCTGCGCTCTAGAGCCCGTGAGCCACAACTACTGAAGCCCGCACACCTAGAGCCCGTGCTCTGCAACAAGAGAAGCCACCGCAGTGAAAAGCCTGTGTACCGCAACAAAGAGTAGCCCCCGCTCGCCGCAACTAGAGAAAGCCCGCACACAGCAACGGAGACCCAATGCAACCAAAAATAAATAATTTTTTTTTTTTAAGTTAATACCTTTGCTAGTAAATGGCATTTAGAAACCAAGTCTGAGTTCAAGATGTGCTCATTCCTACTGGAGTGTTATTGCTTCTAGTCTTTATCACTGATCAGAACTAGAAAAATATGTTATTTAAATTGTGTTTATATTGATATTTCAAATTTAAATTTAACATAACTGGGATTTTACTCTTTAATTTTCTATTTGTTTCTCTTCTTTTTTTAAAAAAATATTTATTTATTTGGTTGCACCAGGTCTTAGTTGCAGCAGGTGGGCTCCTTAGTTGTTGCATGCGAACTCTTGGTAGCAGCACGCATGAGGGATCTAGTTGCCTGACCAGGGATCAAACCCGGTCCCGCTGCATTGGGAGCTCGGAGACCTAACCACTGCACCACCAGGGAAGCTCCCTCTTTGATTTTTGACTGAAAACTTTGGTTTATGTATCTGTTTTATCCTATTTCAAATTATTTAAAAAAATTTTTTTTATTGGGGTATAGTTGATTTATAATCTTATGTTAGTTTCAGGGGTACAACATAGTGATTTAAAATTTTTATAGATTATATTCCAAATTATTTATGACTCTTCCTATTTAACTTCTCATTGCCAATTGAGCATCAGAGGTTGACTTTTTAAATTAGACTTTAATTTCTTTGATAAGGTGCCACATGCTTGTCAAATTAAGGAAAAGATACAATCTCTACTCTTAAATCCAAAGTTAACCTTTTAACCAAAGTTAACTGTAGTGCTTTATGTGATGATCTATGGCACTATCTTGAATGTGTGAAATGCTTTTTGCTCTGGACTTCTGCTGGCAGGGGTTTGTTGCATCGGACCAGTGTCCCAAAGGATGTTGTTGATTATATCATCTTCGGCACAGTTATACAGGAAGTGAAAACAAGCAATGTGGCTAGAGAGGTGAGTAAAACAAACTTTGTATTGTTTAAAGATTGATAGGAGAATCAATTTGAGTTTTAATTAATAGAATTTACTCTTTAAAAGTTTTTAGAATTCATTACAGTTATATTTGACTTAAATGTGATTTTACTACTTGAATTATATTTAAAAGAATTATAGTATAAATCAAATGACATACACTATACTACAATATATTTATACTATATATCAAATCAATTATTTAAGCTGGTTTGTGATATTTTAGTTTGTTTTCTCTTAGGAAAATAGAGATTATGGCAAAGTATGGTTTATGTGACTTTTAGTAATGCTAGATATTGTGGCCTCTAACTTAAAATTTCAACATTTTACAAAGAACTTATTTCATAACACGGTTTTTGTTGGAGGTAGCCTTGCTTATTCATTTGTTCCCTTTGACTAGATGACACATAGGGCAGTTTCTTTTTTTAACTATTTCACAGGTGTTTACTTTTACCCTAGTTGGCAAAGCTCCATGTAGTGTTTATTGGGCAGCTGAGATATGACAGGCCTTGGAACTTCTGCAGCATGTTCTACAGGCATTTCGTAATGAATAGTCCAAAAACTTTTTCTGGGCTTTGTTTCAATTCAAAAGTGGCTGTTTGGGTAAAGTTGGCTCCAAAGCACATTTCAGTGTGCTAAGCATTTTCTTTATTTCTGCTTTGTGTTTGCCATATTATTGTGTTCAGTATAGTTGGAAGGTCAGTAACTTTCACCACTGTCAGCCAAGAGAAGGGGAAACGAGCAGGACTGAAAGTATTTGTTTTGTCCCCCCTTTTTACTCATCAGTATATGTTAAGACTGCTCAAGGCCTGGTGTTATCAAAGTCCGCCATAATCAGCTACTGTATTGTAAGGGAGGCAGGAAAGAATTAAGAACAGGAAGAGAGGGGCTTCCCTGGTGGCGCAGTGGTTGAGAGTCCGCCTGCCGATGCAGGGGACGCGGGTTCTTGCCCCAGTCCGGGAAGATCCCACATGCCGTGGAGCGGCTGGGCCCGTGAGCCATGGCCGCTGAGCCTGCGTGTCCGGAGCCTGTGCTCCGCAACGGGAGAGGCCACAACAGTGAGAGGCCCACGTACCGCAAAAAAAAAAAAGAACAGGAAGAGGGTTTTTTTTCCCGTCCTAATTTTTTTGTTTTTCCTGGACCTTCACACTTCTAAATGTATCAAATATGACAACTTCATGAGTATATCAACATTTTCAACTTTTATATTCTGAAAAAAACAAAGTGACTCTTGTAAGAGTGCTTAAAAAATAAATATTAAATCTGTTTCAGTTTTCTCTATATTTCTATTCTATCCCAACACTAAAGCCATAATGCTTTTTTTTCTAAATTTTTTTCTGGAAATTTTATATCCATATGCAAATCTCAGCTATTGATTGACATGTGGTAGATTCCCTCTCCCAGCCCTGTACTAATACTAAAGGCTAAATTGAGGGGATATATTATAAGTATGTCTCTCTATAGTTGTTTTGTAACCTAAAGGCTACTGTGACTTCCAGCTAGAAAACTTTCAGCACCTGTTGTCTGTATTAATAGTGTAATAATGAAATCCTGAAAGGCTTCTGCTGCTGAGTTCCCATGAACCTGACTTCACTGAAAGGCCTCAGCATACTTCCCTGCTCTCCAACTTAACTAAGAGGCATTTTCCTCCTTTCCCCTCATTGTATTATCTAGAGCCTAAGCTTGCCTTGAGAGCTATTCAGACTTTAAATAGAAACATGTAGACAAGGTTCACCAGCAACCACTTCTATTTAAAGTTCCTTCAATCTTGAGAGTCATCTGGGGCCAAGGGTGTGACACAGGCTAGAAAGGGCCACGTGAGGATCAGGCCATTACAACCTCAGTGCCCTTTACACTTGCCCCACTGGGAAGCTCTCCTCCCCTTCCCCTTGGAGACTTGCCCCTCTCTTCCTTCTGGGTTGGTTTACATTGAGAGGCTGAGGTACAGTTGCCAGCGGGTAGTTTTCAACAGAGTGTTGGGCACTTAGTATCAGGCCTCACTGGAAAGACCAGAGTAAGGTCATGTTGCATGTACACTACTGTAACACATTTCTGTCCCTGTGGATTATGGTGAATGGTGGTAAATACAGTAACTAGTATAGGTAATATAAGTATGAAGACAAAAATCAGTTAAGAAACAGAGCCCTTTAATCTCAGCTTTGGAAACATGTTAACCTTTTACCAAATTATAGAAAATCTTGTATTCTGAGGATAAATGGTTTGAGAAAAAGGTCACTAAAAATTAATTCCCTTAATAGGAACCAGAATTTCATGGTAAATGATGGTGGTGGGGGAGATGAGCTGTTGAGAGCTTTGTTTTTAAAGTGAAAATTTAATATTATAAAAGAAAGTATTTTATTTTTGCACCTATGCATTAGTTCTTTACATAAACAAAAATGGAATCAGGCATTCATTGTTTTTTTGGCAGCATTATTTACTCAATAAATAGTATAATAAAATAATAGATGTCCTCATGTCCATTTTTAGATTAAAGGAGGGCCTCAGTTTTTCTCAAGGCCCCTCAAATTACTCTCTTGAAGCACCTCCTGTGTCATCATCCTGACCAGTTTTCTCATTTCCAGTTGTTAACTAGTCTAACCCTTATTTATCAGAGGCTCACTTGAGGCTCAGGCAGTTTTCCAAAATTTCTTTCATCAACTTGAACTCTTGCGTGTTTGGCGTGTTTTCCAATTCCTCTTTGCATTGGATCATGGTGTGCTGTCTGAAATATCAGGCAATCAGTGAAAGTAGAGACGCGTGTAAGCAGGCAGGGACCTGTCTGGGAATCTGTTCATGAGGAGCCAGTTCTTCAGAAATTATTTTCATGTTTGATGACTTTGCTTTACTACGAAGCCTTATAACTGCAGGAACATAGATCATGAGAGCCCCCCACCATGATATAGGTCATCGTTCCCTCAACTGTATGTAGCAGGTTTACTTTAGGTTTACTTGCAAATTTAAACAAGTTAAAATCAAATTACATATTAATGTCCTTAAAGCTCTGAGAAAAGCATTGCTAAGAGATTAGGTGAACTGCAAGACTGTTGTAGGCTTGTATACCACACTAGAAAATGGCTACAAGGAACTTGGCAGAGTGCTTGTCAGTTAATGGCTAGACAAAAAATTAGTAAACCATTTCTGTGATGTGCTTAGTTTTATTTTAAATATTACTCTGGATTATTGAACTCAAATCCTTTCCTGATGTACCGTACAGTGAAGTATTGCTTAAAGCGCCATTTACATGTAGCACCACTGCCTTCATAAGCGATGCTTTCATTCACTCTGTTTCCTGAAGGCTGCCCTCGGAGCTGGCTTCTCTGACAGGACTCCTGCTCACACTGTCACCATGGCTTGCATCTCTTCCAACCAAGCCATGACCACAGGTACGTTTTTTTGACCGCAGAAGGTACATGTTGGTTCTCCTTTGTCTTTTATATGATCATTAAAAACTACTCTTAACAGAAATAAATGATCTCTGTGTGTTTCAAAAAATAAGGTAATGTTTAAATTTTTTGATTTTTGACAGTAGTTCTCAACCCCTTTTCCTGCCCTCCATACCTGAGGACCACAACCATTCTTGGAGTTTCTCCATCAGTAGTGTGGCTGGCTAGCTCAGGGATTGTTTATTGGAGGGATACTTCCAGATTTGAGGCATGAGAAGTTTATAACCTGCTAGATTTTAGTTAGGTGATTCTAATGTGATACTCCCCCACGAAGATTGTGGCCTTCCTCCCTCTACCGTTGTCACAGTAATAAGTCATTGCTTTAGATGATACAACTCCTTTCCTCTACTTTTTCCCCACATCTAGGCATTTTTATAATTAGTTAGAAATTCTCCTAAAAAACGTAGCAAATCTGTGGGACATTTTGTAGCATCAACCTTATTGTGAAAAGACAGGAAACGTGAAAGATATGGTCATCATGTGCTCTCTTAGTGACATCAAGGCCAGGTTGCCACCTAATGGGTGGCAGGGGATGAAGCCAGAGGCAGGGATGGGGGCATTCTCCACTCCACGCAGCATGGGACCACTTCTGGGTAAAGTGACACAATACTTGCCAGTGGCCATAAAGAGGGAAAGGAGCTGTTTTCTATCTAAAAGCCTGAATTTCTCTAGCTTCTAGTAGAAATTGAAATTCTCTTTATAGGAGAAAAGTCATTATGGAAACTAAAGCTGGGAGCATATAAAATATGCCAAAAGTTCTGGTTTAGAATACAATATGTTTGAGAGTTGGTCCGGTGGATAATTCCGGAAGTTGATGTCCATACAGCCTGAATGAAACTTGTTTTTCTCCAGTGCGTTGAATGTATTTTTAGTCATTTAAAAAACGTACCCTAATCCCTCTGAAGAGGTAAAAACCTTAATTACATATGTTGTACAATGCTAGTAACTATCATACAATTTTTAAATCAAGAAGCCTAAATTTAAAAAAAGGAAAAGCAGCTTAAATTACCGATGGCCTGTTTATCTATACCAGAGATGCTCATATACTTGTGCCCTGTGCCCTGTAGCTGTCAGCTTGATTGCTTCCGGCCAGTGTGACGTGGTCGTGGCAGGCGGTGTAGAGTTAATGTCTGACGTCCCTATTCGCCACTCAAGGAAAATGAGGAAGATGATGCTGGATCTCAGTAAAGCCAAGACTCTGGGTCAGCGACTGTCTTTAATCTCTAAATTCAGATTGAATTTCCTGTCACCCGAGGTGAGAATTGTGAACGCTTACATAAAGACTTGTGTTGCCGAAGCATCCCATTGCAGAGATTTAGACTTAGGGGAGACAGCGTGGGTTCAGTTATGCTCTAGCAGTTGCACATTCCGTTAGTTACAGGGAAGGGTTAATTATTTGGTCAAGATGGAAAGAAAGAAAAAATAGTGGTTCGAAGATTTGAATTTGTAAGCCCTTTTTAGAGATGCCCTGCTCAGAAAGAACTTCTCTTGTCTTGGTCTTGATTGATAGTAGACTTTAACTTTCCCAAATAACCCTAGGTGTGGTATAGCACCTGTTAACAGTGTGCCTGGTCCTGAATATCTCCTTTCCCAGCTTCCAGCAGTGGCCGAGTTCTCCACCAATGAGACCATGGGCCACTCTGCAGACCGACTGGCTGCCGCCTTTGCTATTTCTCGGCTGGAACAGGATGAGTATGCACTGCGCTCACACAGCCTGGCCAAAAAGGCACAGGATGAAGGACTCCTTTCTGATGTCGTGCCCTTCAAAGTACCAGGTAAAAGTTTGCTTAACTTTGTAGGGGAGAATGCTCTTAATGCTCTTGATATTTGTTAGGGAGTTCTGAATTTCTTCTAAAACTCCAAAGACCCTGAGTGACTTTCCAGTAAATATGATGGTTCTCTTTCCAAAAGACTCAGCCTTTATTCTTAAACATGGACTCAAGTTTCCAAAAGACTCAGCCTTTATTCTTAAACATGGACTCAAGTTTCAATCCTTGTTGTAACAGTAGGTAAACATTTTTTTTAAGATTTTATTTTATTATTTATTTATGTATTTATTTTTGGCTGTGTCGGGTCTTAGTTGCAGCACGCGGGATATTTGTTGAGGCATGTGGGCTCCTTGTTGCGGCGCGCAGGCTTATCTCTCGTTGTGGCATGCGGGTTTTTTCTCTCTAGTTGTGGTGCATGGGCTCCAGGGTGTGTGGGCTCTGTAGTTGTGGTGTGCGGGTTCCAGGGCGTGTGGGCCCCGTAGTTTGCGGCACACAGGCTCTCTCGTTGAGGCGCGCGAGCTAAGTAGTTGTGGTGCGCAGGCTTCGTTGCCCCAAGGCACGTGGGATCTTAGTTCCCTGAGCCGGGCTGGAACGTGTGTCCCCTGCATTAGAAGGTGGATTCTTTACCACTTGACCACCAGGGAAGTCCCTGGTAAAACTTTTAAAAAGAGAAATTTTTATGTCTCCTTTAGATCTTACAGATACATTTTAGTTCTTATGTGCATGCCTGTTTTTAAAATTCTTCATTCATATCTCTTCTGTATAGAAGAGCCAAATGTGAATATCTTAAGAAAATAGGGTATCCTTTCTAATGTTAAATCATTTAGATTATTTCCCAAAAGTCTTAAGAGTTTATTTTCAAATTTGGTGATACCTTGATAACTATAAAAGGCTTTCTTTTTAGTGAATATCTGTGGTTTACATTTTATTTGTTCTTATAATTTTTAAAGTGTATTTCTCTGGAGAAGATATATAATGCTTGTTGTGCCTTAGAGTTAAAAACTTCATATTTTTATAGGAAAAGATACAGTTACTCAAGATAATGGCATTCGTCCTTCCTCCTTGGAGCAAATGGCCAAACTAAAACCTGCATTCATCAAGCCCTATGGCACAGTGACAGCTGCAAATTCTTCTTTTCTGGTAACTATGTGTGCTATATGTGTTTACTAGTGATCTTTCATATTTGTGTACTCTCAATAGAAAAGCCTGAAATAGAGTTACTTGTGTGTGTTATGAATAGAGACTTAAAAATATACTTCCTCATTACAAAGATAATATTAAAATAGAATTACAGTTTTTAAAGCCATAGAAGTCTCCTGACCCAGTCACCATTCTGATACAAAAAAGCTGTTCTCTTCAGGCACTTCAGCAGTCAAAAAACTTTGACTGCCTGTGTTAGGCACTGGAGATAAAAAGAACAGTTTATTGTAATGTAGTGAGAAAGTGCTGTGAAGACTATAAGCATAGGCTCTTGGGGGAGATACATAGATGGGTGAGTCAAAGAGGCTTCTTAGAGGAGGTGACCCTTGCTCAGAGAATCTTGAAGGAAGAGTACAAGCCAATTCAGGTAGTGTATAAATGGCATTCTAGGCAAAAGGAACAGCAAATGCAAAATCAGGAGTTAGTTACGAGAGCAAGGACCTCTTTGGGGAAAAGCTTGGTTGGAACATAGGATATGAATTCAGGGAGTCGTATAAGACTTGGAAAGTAGGCAGAGAGAGTGACAAGATACATCTCCTAGCTCCGATTGTTAGAAAATTATGTTTTATGCCGGCCCCCAAATTACTTTGCTATAAGCATCATGGAATAAATCTACCCTTGTTTTCTGTTGTTGTTATTTTACTTACATGCAGGTAGCTTCATGTCCTTGCTTGGGTGTTTTTCCTTCTCCTCAATTGAATGTCCCTGCTGATTCTGCTTCTGCTTGGGAGATGTGGTTTCCCTTCTCCTGCTACCTTGGGTGTAGTCTTCTGGATATAGTTCATCTGGTCAATGTTTCTTTTACAGTGTAACTCCTCTACCCAGATATACAGTCTAGAAACATAGGCAAATGTTTGACATATTTGACCTTGGTAAATGATGATTTAATGCCTGCTCTTGAGCTCGGGCAAGGGTGCCTGAAGTGGTTCCAACAGGATGGTGTACCACTCTGTAAAGCCTGAGTGGTAAAGGGCTGGTTAGGTGATTTATTTCCAAAACCAAGTTGGATGATAGGGCCATATGGTATGGATTACACTCTTGGCAGATCTGAACCCCCTTGATTACTTGTGGGGTGTGCAAAAGGTTCAGGTTTATTCATCAAAAATCAGAAACACGGGGCTTCCCTGGTGGCGCAGTGGTTGAGAGTCCGCCTGCCGATGCAGGGGACACTGGTTCGTGCCCCGGTCCGGGAAGATCCCACATGCAGCGGAGCGGCTGGGCCCGTGAGCCATGGCCTCTGAGCCTGCGCGTCCAGAGCAACGGGAGAGGCCACAACAGTGAGAGGCCTGTGTACCGCAAAAAAAAAAAAAAAAAAATCAGAAACACGAATCATCAGAGGTAATGCATCACAAATACATGGATTTTCAGAGATTTTGTTAACGCACCACATTCACTGCAATTTTGCACAACTGCACATTGCATGTATTATTGATATATCATTAATTATAGTCACCTGTGTTTCCAGACTTTATGCCCGCCTATCAGTAGTGGCTACATAGCCTCTTCACAGTTACTGAGTTATAAAAATATGGTCTCATGTGGTAGAAATTGTTTTGATTTTGCAAATTCTAGAGAGTAGTTTCCTTTCCTTTGGAATTTTGGATTTTTTTTTTTTTTTTTTTTTTTTTTGAGCTCTTTCTTTTGAAGCAATGGTAAAGGGCTTTTGTGAGTGGCACTTCTTTGTCCCCCAACTTCTCAGTTGTCAGTTGGAAAAAAGCTCGTGGGGTAGGTCCAGAGAGGGAAGGCCTTGGTTCTTATGTTCTCAGCTATCTACCTATTTCTTCTTCTCCCATTGTTATAGTCTATAAATAGAAGAAAATCACCTCAAAGCCACAGGCAGGAAGCAGCTGGGAAACAGTCCAGAAAATGTAAAAATAAATCAGTAAATAAGAGATTTTTTTGGAGATTGTTTTAATTCATAAAATTCCTCATATTCTGCACTAAAAGCAAAAAACTTTTAGTTTATCATGAACACATATTTCTAGAGTTACCTATTCTCCTCATCCATTTTGATCATTACGGTACTTTCTGAATAGGCTCTTGTACCCTCGTCTTCCAAAAGTGGGTCGGTGTGTGTGTTTGAATTGTGACCTAACGATGGATAAAATGAAAAGGTTTTGTCATATAGAGGCACTGTATAAGTGTCACTGGTTGGTAGATTTAGGAACAGGGCATAAGGTGGCTGAATAAAGACCACCAGAGAGGCTGTAGAATTTAACATTTTTGTTCCGGTCAACATTTCAGACCGATGGTGCATCTGCAGTGCTGATTTTGGCAGAGGAAAAAGCTCTGGCCATGGGTTATAAGCCGAAGGCATATTTGAGGTAAAGTAAGTGTTCATATAAATTGCCTCTGGTTTCTTTATTTTAGTACTAGAGCTAACGCCTCTATTTTTTTACCTAGGGATTTCATGTACGTGTCTCAGGATCCAAAAGATCAGCTTTTACTTGGGTAGGTAGCAGTGTATATCCTAAGATTATAATGAAAAATATTTGGTTACCAATGTTTCTTACATAGATTTTAAAGTACATTAAGCCCTGAGTTCATAATCGGCTTGTGAGTTGGGTTTTTTAAATAATAATAATCTTTTATGTTGCTTTATCATTTTATAGTTTTGGAGTCTTTTCCACTTTTTCCTATACTTTTCTACTTATAATTACAATATATATACAATTTTGTATTCTTGTTTTACATTAAGATGTCATAAGCATTTTTTTCATATTGCCACACACTCTGCAACAGTCTTCAGAATAGCTTTTTATAAAAGCCTCCTAATGTTTAGACTCCTCTCCCTCCCTATGAGGCTCTACCCTCACTAGCCTCCATTATGTCCTTTAACTAGCCATGCCCCTTCTGATGCTCTGCCCTTTGAACTCTGTGTTCTTCTAGCTCTTCACATTATTAATTTGTCCTTCTCAATAATTGTTTACTTGCTTATTTATTTCTCTGAGTCCAGAATATCAACTGCAAAGGGCAGAGGCCATGTCTGTTCAGTTTAATATTGTATCACCAACACTTAATATTTGTACAGTAGAATCAGTGAGCGAGTGGAAGACACTCTGATAATTATGTAGAACTCAGTTTGGGGAATATGAAGGAGCTCTTAGGTTAAAAATTAAAGTTTTAATATTGTATCACTTATTTTTTTCTTTTCAGACCAACATATGCTACTCCAAAAGTTTTAGAAAAGGCAGGATTAACAATGAATGATATTGATGCTTTTGAATTTCATGAAGCTTTCTCAGTAAGTCACTTTAAAGACACATATCAAAGGACTGTAATCATTTAATATCAGTAAAACAAGAGTGGAGCTTTATATTTGAAGTACTGACTTACACTGCTGGGAAGGGCATGATGGGAGGAATCCAGGGCTACACACACAGTGCTAAAAAACATACCTTTTGAAGCTATCACTTTGAGGCCCTTCAAAAGTACCAGATTCTTTCTTTAGGAAATATTCACTGAAAACTGATTTAAAGATTTGCTTAGCTTTAAAGTTAGATAAACTCAAAGAATGCCTTGAGGGACATTACTAACAAGGTCCTTATTGAGTTATTTTCCTTTCTAGGGTCAGATTTTGGCTAATTTGAAAGCCATGGATTCTGACTGGTTTGCACAAAACTACATGGGTAGAAAAGCCAAGGTAAGTTTCTGGTTAAAAATATGCTCGAGGAACTTCCCTGGTGGTCCAGTGGTTAAGACTCTGTGCTTCCACTGCAGGGGGGCACGGGTTCGATCCCTGGTTGGGGAATTAAGATCCTGCATGCTGTGCAGCATAGCCAAAAAACAGCTTGAATTTCCAAAGCACTTTAATATTTGGAGCTTTAATACCTGCTAATAAAAATATGAAGAGGAAAGCTGCTGCTGCTTATGAAGAATTTTGTGTTTCATTACATATATTTATTTCTTAGTTGAAAAATACCTCCTGGAAATTCTTTAGAAAAAAATAAAAGCAAGGATAAAGAAGATGTGGCACATATATACAATGGAATATTACTCAGCCATAAAAAGAAACAAAATTGAGTTATTTGTAGTGAGGTGGATGGACCTAGAGTCTGTCATACAGAGTGAAGTAAGTCAGAAAGAGAAAAACAAATATCATATGCACAAAACTACATGGGTAGAAAAGCCAAAGTAAGTTTCTGGTTAAAAATATGCTCAAGGAACTTCATACATATGGAATCTAAAAAAAAAATGGTTCTGAAGAACCTAGGGGCAGGACAGGAATAAAGATGCAGGCGTAGAGAATGGACTTGAGGACACGGGGAGGGGAAAGGGTAAGCTGGGACATATATACACTACCAAATGTAAAATAGCTAGTGGGAAACAGCTGCATAGCACAGGGAGATCAGCTCGGTGCTTTGTGACCACCTAGAGGGGTGGGATAGGGATGTAGGAGCGAGACGCAAGAGGGAGGAGATATGGGAACATATGTATATGTATAGCTGATTCACTTTGTTATACAGCAGAAACTAACCATTGTAAAGCAATTATACTCCAATAAAGATGTTAAAAAACAAAAAATAAAAGCAAAATTTTAGGTTGTCTTTGTTCATCCATTCTGATGTTAGATGAAAAATAAGTGGGCCCTTGGCTTTCAGAATTGATTTAGAATTTCTTTCTTTTGCAGTAAAATAACTTGTGATTTGTCTTAAGTTAGTTACTTCCCTTTATTGCCATTACTACCTGTTAACTACGAGCCTTGTCTGATTCTTAAGTAAACTCATCTCTGTATTTGTGTCTATTTTTGTGGGAGCCAGGTTGGATCGCCTCCTTTGGAGAAGTTTAACATCTGGGGTGGATCACTCTCCCTGGGGCACCCATTTGGAGCCACTGGCTGTCGGTTGGTCATGGCAGCTGCCAACAGATTACAGAAGGAAGGAGGCCAGTATGGGTTAGTTGCCGCCTGTGCAGCTGGAGGGCAGGTATGTCACAGAAGCTTCATAGGAGCTTCCAGAAAGTCATTTTCTTGGAAACAAAACAAATTCATCCAAGAATGTTTGATTTAGCTTAATTTCAAACAGTCTTAGAGCAATTTTTCTGATGACAGACAACTGGGAAAAAAGCAGCCTGTTTTTGTGGGGAGGGAGTACAACTTTAATTCTGATAGTACTTTGAAAGGAAGAATCTATTTAAATCCAAGTTATTTTTTTTCTCTAAAATAATGTTTATGTTTTTTGTTTATAAAAGTTATATATGCTCCTTATGGAAATTATGAAAATACAAAAAGTATTTAGAAAATAAAATTATAATCACTTATAATCCCCTCATCAGACACTATCATTACTCACACTTTGGTATATTTTCTTCTTTAATAATAAAATTTTATACATTTATCTAGTCACCATGAGACGTTATCCATAAAATCTCTCCAAGTCTTTCTTGAGAACTGAACTATACTTAATGGAGAATTAATTTGCCTCTGGATAACCTATTGCTATTTAGCTGAGGAAAATTATGTTTTTCTACAGATTTTTTTTCTATCTGCTTTACTTGTGTTACTGACGAAACTTCCTACCTGCTATAGCATTTCATGTGGGAATAAAATCCAAAAGGAAGGCTGATTGTAATCTTTTTTTTTTTTTCCCAACCCTGATGGAAACAGATTTGATTTTTCTCCAGATAACAGAAACTATCCGTTGCCGACCAAGATGAATAAGATATGTAAAAGTATAAACATCTTACATTTAAAAGCCTTTATTTATGGCTTTTTCTCAGAGACCTTGAAGAAGCAAGGGATCAGTTATTTTTAGGTTGGATTTTTTAGACTTCACAATCGAGTATTTTCTAATCTGTTGTAACTTCATTTACAGAAAACCATGGTAAATCAGGACTGGAGCCCTCCCTCTTATCTTTCTATGCCAAGTTTAAATGCGGGAGGTAACTAGTGCATAGCATTGTACATAGTGCATAGTCCACGTAGGTTAATGTCCTTTGGTTTTGAGTGTTTGTTCCCTAATTTTTTAATCTAGCACATAGAGGATTAATAACACAATACTAGGTGCTTTTGTGGATGAACAAAGAATAATATCCAATATTATTACTTTACCTCTAGAAGTTTACAGTATAGTGAAGAAGGAGATAATGCATCTTAGAAACTAGGTTAAACTTGGCATTGTTTCATCAAGAGCCAAATGAGTGCTACAAACATGATTAGATCAAAGGAGGAATCCATCATTGTGGATCAGGATTTCTCAGCTTTGGCACTAGTAACATTTTGGGCCAGATAATTCTTTGTTGCAGGTGAGGGGACTGTGCTGTGTGTTGTAGGGTGTTTAACATGGTCTCTACCCACTAGATACCAGTAGCAAACCACCCCCCTCACTCCCCATCCCCCCCGCCCCCCTGCCATACGCATACAGTTGGGACAACCAGAAATATCTCCAGACATTGCTAAATGTCCTCTGGGGAGGGGAGGGAGCAAAATCACTGCCGTTGAGAACCACTGATCTAGTGCAATGTAAAAGATTTGGAACATGAAAACAACACAGTTGAAATAAAACAGGAGAAGGAATATTCTACCTTATTATATGGGCCCTTCTAGGACAACCCCAAGTCAGTCAAACCTTCCCATCCGTATTCTTTTGTTTGCTTGTGCCTGTATTAAGGTATTTAGCGTTTGTTTTGAACTACAGTGTATATTAGATAGAGGATACAGACCATGTAGCAAAACTTTGTACCCACACAGTGTTCAGCTTGGTGCCTTATAAATAATAGTTGCTTAATAAATATTTGTGGGGATTGAATTGAATCTGGAAGCAGGGAGATTAGTTTGGCTATTAACTAGTTTGATAGCAGTCCAAAAGATAGAATGACTATGATTATCAGATAGGATTTAGACTCATGAAATCATTAATTTCTATACTAGGTTTCAACTAGGGAGATAACTTGGATATAGCACTGTGCCTAGTACTAGGAAAGGGATTTTCTACCTTTTTACCTTTGTGGGACCTCAAATCATCATCTTCACCCACATAGAGTAGTAAAGAAGAGACCAGGTTTTGGAATCATCTGGTTTCAAGTCCTGACCCTGTTACTTAATAGCTTTGTGGATTTGGATGAGTAACTTAACCTCTCAAAGCCTCAGTTTTCTTACCTAGGAGAGAGAGAAGGCTGTTGTTGGATTCACTGTATTGCGTTTATTTTTATACAGCTAAAAAAAGCCCCTCTGGCTTAATTTAATAGTAACCACTTACGGAGCATCTACTAGGAGTCAGACTCTTCTAGATAGACTCTGATACACATGTGTATACATATATGTGTGTGTGTGTGTGTATACATACATTGTATGGTATCTAATTTAATGCTCACAAAAACACTTTGAAGTGGGCACCATGAACCCCATTTTAGAGAGGAAGTTGAGGTTCAGAATGGCTAATAACTTTCCCAGGATTGCACAGTGTTTGAATGGCAGAGCCAGGATTAAGTTCCAAAGCCTATATTTTTCCCATTGTTCTGTGCTGCCTCTGTACTGGCTGGATTCATTGCATTTGATTGCTCTAACTGAACTTTTTTTTCCTTTACAGGGCCATGCTATGATAGTGGAAGCTTATCCAAAATAATAGATCAAGAAGAGGTGACCTGGAGTTTCTGTGCAACACTCACCCTAGGCAATGCCATTTCAATGCACTACTCGGTGACATCTATAGTTCCTAGCTCCTCTTAGGGAAACAAAATTTGTGGCCTTCTGTTAAGTACTTTGCAGTTAAGCCTTGCCAGTGTTCTGAGCTTTCCAATAATCATGGCTTATTACTCTTTCAGGAATTTCTTAGTTACCAGAATCTCTCAACAGTGATAAGTTTAAGCAATTGTGTTTGGTCTCTATTTTTATGAAAGACTGAATGAGTGGCTGAGATTTGGAATCACCTTTGTAACATTTGCAAATTATAGCTCATTCCTATTTGTGACCTAAAGATAAACGTTTTCTATAAAATACAAACCAATGTGCCTAAATTTAACTTAATTATGGAAAGGTAATTCAGAATCTAAACATCACTGAAAATTTACAGTAAATGTTTAGATATATAAATACCATGTTGGTTAACCTTAATAAAGTAGAGAAGTATTAGAGAACCATTTGCATTGTTTTATTAGGGGTAAAAGGTGGTTCTCTTGCTTAGGGACAGATTTTGCCTTGGATTACTCCTTTGTAACTTCTAACCATTTTAGTCAACCATGAAGCCGCTAGGATCATAAAGAAGGTCCTGCTTTAGAATAACACCATTTTTTCCCCAGTGCCCAATTGAAATAAATTTATTTTATCATTTGGAGATGTTTGCCGGGTTTAATGAAATGTAAAGAAATTTCAAAAATTTGGTCAACATACTAAAAATTCTCTCAGTTTTTTGACAACCAAACTGCATTAAATAACATGTATGCTAGTGCATTGCAGAAGCAGAAGTCTCAGTTGCAACCGTTCATGTGAATTTCATTTAGGTCTATGAAAGTTACTGGCAATCAGAATCATACTCTAGTTCAGGGACAGATTGGGCAAGGGACCAAGTGCTAACCTCTTAAAAGGTTATTTGAGAGTCCCAGCTTTATTTCCCCATGATTTCATTGGTGAATTCCACCTAATGTGAGTTTTTAATACTGCAAACCATTATATTTACGTATCACAAATATTAACTCTAGATAAGTTAAATATAAAAGATAAAAAACTTTTTAAGGGGCTTCCATGGTGACACAGTGGTTGAGAGTCTGCCTGCCGATGCAGGGGACACGGGTTCGTACCCTGGTCCGGGAGGATCCCACATGCCGCAGAGCGGCTGGGCCCGTGGGTCATGGCCGCTGAGCCTGTGCGTCTGGGGCCTGTGCTCTGCAACGGGAGAGGCCACGGCAGTGAGAGGCCCGCGTACCGCAAAAAAAAAAAAACTTTAAAATTTAGAAAAAAAAATACCACTGTGACCCTTAGGTTGGGGCGGAGAGAATTTCTTAAATAAGACATTTAAAGTGTTACCATAAACGAAAAGATCTATAAATTGGCCTATGTTGAAATAAGAACCTTTGTTCTTTATATGATAGAGTGGAAAAACAAGCCACAAATGGGGTGAAGATACAGATATAACTTAAAAGGATGTACATATATATATCTTATCAAAAATGTATCTTTTATATCTCTATCATAGCATACATATGATAGATACCTTACAAGATATATATGATATAGATATATTTTACAAAGGATTCAGGGTGTATACAGAATTCCTGTCAATCAAAAAGGAGAAAGATAGGGATTTCCCTGGTGATCCAGTGGTTAAGACTCTGGGCTTCCACAGCAGGGGGCTTGGGTTCAGTTCCTGGTCGCAGAACTAAGATCCCTCCTGCATGCCGTGTGGTGAGGCCAAAAAAAAAAAAAGAAGAAGAAAGATAACATGGTAAAATATGGCAAAAGATATTAACAGGTATTTTTTTAGAAAATAATGTACAAATGCAGAATAAACATGAAAAGATGCTCATTAGTAATCAAGAAAAACCAAACCAAGATCATGATGAGGTATTATTTTATACCTACTAGACTGACAAAAATGAACAGGACTGAGAATACCAAGCGTGAGTGAGGATGTAGAACAGTAGGAACTTTTTATACACTGCTGGTGAGAATGCAGATTGATACAACCACTTTGGAAAACAGTCTGGCATTATCTTGTACATTTGAATATGATACATGGTTTATAATCCAGCTTTTCCACTCGGGTATATTTCCTGGAGAAACTTGTACATGAGTACCAGGAGACATGTGCAAGAGTGTTGATAGCAGCATGTCTCTCTAATAGCAAAATATTGTAAATAACGAACATTCATCCACAGCAAAGTTTTAAAAATAAGCAAAACTAAGTACATTTCTAGGATGCCTATGTACAAGGTGAAAATATTTTCCAAAACAGTTAAGAAAAAAGAAATCTTACAGAAGAATGCCAAATAATATATGTAGGCCCCAGGCTCCAGGAGGTGGATCATGATCTTCCCCTCTCGAGTGTGGCCTGGACTTAGTGACTCAATTCCAGTAAATAGAGTGTGAAGACAGAAAACAAGGCAACCTTAACAGTGGAGAAACCTGGCAAACACTAGTTTAACCAAATGACCAAGGTTGTTATCGGTGCTGTCATGTGGATATCACAGACCTCCTGGTATGAGGTCATCAAAAGGGCCCTTCACCTTAGTGGTATTCTTTCCAAGTACTCATAACCTAGTTGATTCATGAGAAAACGTCAGACAAAACTAAACTGAGGGACATTCTACAAAATTCTTCACCAGTACACAAAACTATCAAAGTCATGAAAAATAAAAGAATACTGAGAAATTGTCACAGACCAGAGGAGGCGAAAGAGACATGAGAACTGAATGTAATGCAGTATTCTGAGTTGGATTCTAAAACAGAATAAGGACACTAATAAAAAAAAAAACTGGTGAAATCTGGGGTTTAGTTAATAGTTTAAAAAGGAACCCATATATAAATTCACATATAGTGAAATTATTTTCTAGGAGAGTGCCAAGACACTTTTCAACAAATGGTGTTGGGGAAATTGTATATCCACGTGCAAAATAATGAAGTTGGACCCCTGCATTACACCATATACAGAAATTAACTCAAAACAGATCAAAGACCTAAACATAAAAGCTAAAATTATAAAACTCTTAGAAGGAAACAGGGAAAGCTTCATGAAACTGGATTTGGCAATGATTTCTTGGATATGACACCAAAAGAACAGGAAAGAGAAAAAAATTGGAGTTCATAAAAATTAAAAACTTCTGTACATCAAAGGACACAGTGAAAAAGCAACCTATGGGATGGGGGAAAATATAAGTCATATCTGATAAGGGGTTAATATCCAGAATATAATAAAGAACCATGCAACTCAAGAGCTGGAAAACCCAATTTTAAAATGAACAAGAGGGCTTCCCTGGTGGTGCAGTGATTGAGAGTCCGCCTGCCAGTGCAGGAGACATGGGTTCGATCTCTGGTCCGGGAGGATCCCACATGCTGCAGAGCAGCTAGGCCCACGCGCTGCAACTGCTGAGCCTGTGCTCTAGGGCCCACGAGCCACAGCTACTGAGTTTGCGTGCCACAGCTGCTGAGGCCCACACGCCTAGAGCCCGTGCTCCACAACGAGAGGAGCTGCCACGATGAGAAGCCCGTGAACCACAGCGAAGAGTGGCCCCCACTCGCCGCAACAGAGAAACGCCTGCGCGCAGCAACGATGACCCAACGCAGCCAGAAACAATAAATAAATTAATAAAATAAATTTATTTAAAAAATTAAAATGAGCAGATAATTTGAATAGATATTTCTCTAAAGAAGATGTACAATGAGCACATGAAAAGATGTTCAGCGTCACTGATAGTTGAGGAAATGCAAATCAAAACTACAATGAGCGGCTACTTCATACCCAATAGGATGGCTGCTATTACAAAACCTGAAAAGGACAAGTGTTGGTGAGGATATGGAGTAATTGAAACCTTTGTGCACTGTTGATGGGAATGTAAAATTGTGCAGATGCTATGGGAAATAGTATAGCAGGTCCTCAAAAAATTATAGGTATTGGGTTGGCCAAAAGGTTCGTTCGGTTTTTTTCTGTTAAGATGGCTCTAGTAGCACTTAGCTGTCTTTAACTTCATTCAAAACAATTTTGTTAGATTGTACGTGACAGCTGTCACATCAGCGTGCATTTAAAAAAAAAATTGGTGCATTTTTGTGTAGCCATTTTAGTATTGAAGATGGAAGAAAAAAGCAACCTTTTCGGCATATTATGCTTATTTCAGGAAAGGTAAAAACACAACCGAAATGCAAAAAAAAATAAGATTTTTTTGGTCAGTAGACCAGTTGAAGTTGATAGCAATCAAATTGAGACATTAATTAAATCGAGAAATTAATTGAGAACAATCAACATAATACCACGCGGGACATAGCCGACGTACTCAAAATATCCAAATCAAGTGTTGAAGATCATTTGCGCAAGCTTGATTATGTTAATCACTTTGATGTTTGGGTGTCACATAGGTTAAGCGAGAAAAACCTTCTTGACCATATCTCTGCATGGGATTTTCTACTTAAACGTAATGAAAATGTTCTGTTTTCATCAATAAAACAAATTGTGACGAGTTATGAAAAGTGGATACTGTACAAAAATATGGAACGGAAGAGATTGTCGGGCAACCGAAATGAACCACCGCCAACCACACTGAAGTCCAGTCTTCATCCAAAGAATGAGATGTTGTTTTTATGGTGGGATTGGAAGAGAGTCCTCTATTATGAGCTCCTTCTGGAAAACCAAACGATTAATTCCAACAAGTACTTCTCCCATTTAGACCAACTGAAAACAGCCCTTGACAAAAAGCGTCCAGAATTAGTCAACAGAAAACGCGTAATCATCCGTCAGGGTAATGCAAGACCGCATGTTTCTTTGATGACCAGGCGAAAACTGTTACAGCTTGGCTGGGAAGTTCTGATTCATCCACTGTATTCACTAGACATTGCACCTTCGGATTTCCATTTATTTCGGTCTTTACAAAATTCTCTTAATGGAAAAAATTTCAATTCCCTGGAAGACTGTAAAAGGCACCTGGAACAGTTCTTTGCTCAAAAAGATAAAAAGTTTTGGGGAGATGGAATTATGAAGTTGCCTGAAAAATGGCAGAAGGTAGTGGAATAAAAGGGTGAATACATTGTTCAATAAAGTTCTTGGTGAAAAGGAAAAATGTGTCTTTTATTTTTACTTAAAAACCAAAGGCACGTTTTGGCCAACCCAATAGAATTACCATATGATCCAGCAATTCCAGGTGTAGTATATATACAAAAGCATTGAAAGCAGGGTCTCAGAAATATTTATACACCCATGTTCATAACAGCATTATTCACAATAACTAAAACTTGGAAACAACTCAGGTGTTCACTGATGGACCAATGGATAAACAAAATGTGTATATACATGCAATAGAATACTATGTAGCCTTAAAAAGGAAGGCAATCCTGTCACATGCTACAACATGGATGAAGCTTGAGGATATTATGCTAAGTAAAACAAGCCAGTCACAAAAAGACAAATACTGTATGATTCTACGTGTCCCAGGTATTTAAAACAGTCAAATTCATAAAGACAGTAGAATGGTGGTTGCCAGGGCTTGGGGGAGGGGGGATGAGGTGTTGTTTAATGGGTATAGGATTTCTGTTTTGGAAGATGAAAATAATTCTGAAGATTGGTTGCACTACAATGTGAATGTACTTAACGCTACTGAACTGTATACTTAAAAATCATTAAAATGATAACATTTTATGTGTATTTTACCACAATTAAAAAAAATTTTTAAGGTAAGGGAAAACATTCAGAACAGAAGTTACCTCTAGGTAGGGGGCAGTGGAATTGGATTGGAGAGGAGCACACAGGTTAAAGTTATGTACTATTTCAAAACATTTTATATGTATAGAGGGAGCCACGTTATTCTCATTAGCATGACTGCTACAAAAAGATCATCCTTGGCTGTGGTGATTATAGACACCTTCTTGATGTTTGTTCTTAAATATCTTAAACTGGTTATGTTTTTAAAGATCCCAACTTAAAAGTGTCTCTCTTTTCATGTAAAACTTTAATTAGACCCTCTGTTCCACCAAATAACCAATTGAGAGTGGAGCCTTTATTTGCCCTCATCTTCTTTCATTCAAATTTCAGAAGGTCAGCTCCCCAACTTCTCCCCACCCTCTCCCCACCACTCTTCCCTGCCCCTAGCTGTTTGCTTCTCCGCCTGTCTTCTCCCCCATCCTTTCTCAGTTTTGCTTATTTCTCCAGGCCTCTGCAGTTCCGGTCTTTCTTGAGGAGTAAAAGGCGGTAGCAGGGTCTCCCGGGCTTTCTCGGATTTTAATGGATGACTCAGAGTCCCTCTGCCTATATCCGCTGTGGTTTGGGGGGACTCTGAACTGGTTTATTGTGCTTCCTCAATGAAGAGGGATCATTGATGGAGAGGAAATGGGAGAATGTGGGGATTGGAGGACAAAAATAGTGAGTAGACATATTATTCTGAAAATAAATAGATTATTGTGAAAGAGAAGAAGCATTTAGACATGTTGGCAGTGTTTGTACTCAATGTCGTACTCAAATTGGAGCCCTTTTCCCTTCCACACTTAAAGAACCGTCAGTGATCAATTGATTCCCAAAGCAGAACTCCAAATAGGGAGTTCACAGCTTTCCCAGGAACCCCTAATATAGTCTATCCTTCTGTACAAACTTAAATTCCAGGGCCTATTTTGTTTGTGTTTCTTTGCTTGTCAAGATTCTATTTTTAAATATGCAAAATGTTTAGGAAAATAATTTTTTTAATAAATTTATTTTATTTTTGGCTGCGTTGGGTCTTCATTGCTGTGCACGGGCTTTCTCTAGTTGCATCGAGTGGGGGCTACTCTTCATTGTGGTGCGTGGGCTTCTCATTGTGGTGGTTTCTCTTGTTGTGGAGCACAGGCTCTAGGCGCACTGGCTTCAGTAGTTGTGGCACTTGGGCTCAGTAGTTGTGGCTCGCAGGCTCAGTAGTTGTGGTGCACGGGCTTAGTTGCTCCGTGGCATGTGGAATCATCCTGGACCAGGGCTCAAACCTGTGTCCCCTGCGTTGGCAGGCAGATTCTTAACCACTGTTCCACCAGGGAAACCCCTAGGAAAACCTTTTGAAAACCATTTTTTTTCCAATATAAAAATACATGCTCGTCGTAAAAAATTCAAACAATATAGAGTAGAAGAAGAAAATGAAAAATCAAGTAGAGATACCCACTGTTAATATTTTGATATCTCTCCTTTTTAATGTGTACATATTTATGTGGACACATAGAACATAATTGCCTGACATAATGGTGTTCTGGAACCCTTTTGTTTTACTTAGCTGTGTAGCATTTTTTCATATTAGTGGGTGTAGCTATATGTCATCATTTTTAATGACCACATAGGATTCCTTTGTATGGATGTATCCTAATTTGTTTTACCAAGTGCCTCTTTTTTGAGGATGTAAACACACTAGAGTGCACACCCTTTGTACATTTATCTGTTCACTTGTTTACTTATTTCTTTAAGTCTTCTTTTTAGAAATGGAATTGCTGCTATATCTCACCTTTTATTTACCTCCAGAGCATTCTTTTTCATTCCTTTTTTTTTTTTTTTTATGGTGAGAGCCAAGTGAACAAAGGCTTAATGTCATTTCATTTATCCATTCTCAAGTGTGCTTTTAGCAGCAGAGCATGCACTGAGTATGTGCAATCATTTGAGAAGGAAAACAAGAACACATATATCTACAGAAGCATACTCAGGAAAGGAATCTGCTGTTTCTATTCTATATTGAATTTTTCAAAAAAAATTTTTATAATTAAGACTGTAAATTGTTAATAAAGTGAAAGTGTATATATACACTAATATGTATAAAACAGATAACTAATAACCTGCTGTATACAAAATAAATTTAATTTAAAAATAAATATTTTAAAAAGTGAAAGTGGCATTGAGACCTGACTCTGTTGCCAGGGAAACTAGCAAGGCAAAGCCCCCACGGGATTCCAATAGCTGCTGCTTCCTGTGAGGGCTGGAACAAGTATGAGGCACAGAGACATTGCAGTTGTCCTGGTGAGTTGGTATGTTCTATTTGAAAGAATGATTGAATCCATTCAGAGAAATACTTGAGCTGGTTTATACACAATTAAAATATTCACACAAATCCTTAAGTGGAGATATAGTGTATGTAAGAAAAATATTTTCAATGGCATGTGGTTAGCATATCACTTTTTTATTTCGAAAGAAAACATCCTCATTCCACTTTATAAAAATATCCATGAATTTTTAAATTAACAAACATTCGTCAGATTTTTTTCATTTATTTAGTTTTAAAATTTTTCAGAGTCCTGTCAGCATCCTCTTGTGGATTCCGTAAAATAATTCAGCTAGATATCTTGGTGCCCTCTATAGGCTTTTCTTAAATATTTCTTCTCTATATCTAGTCTTAGCTTGATCCTGTCATTTTTTAAATGTCAGTGTTTGTCATCTTTTCTCCTTAATTCTTGGCAGTCTGTGTTATCTTTCTCTCTATTTTAAAATTTATACCGCATTCTTACAAATGTTCTCATATCAGTGACTTTTTATATACATGCATATGTCTATGAAACTTACATTTTATAGTAATGTATTTTATTACTGCTTTATTACTGCTTTCTGAGGCCTCCACCCTCTTCAGCCCCTCTAGAAATGTCTACTTGAAGAAGTCTTTTTTCTACCCTTTCGGCTGGGACAGGTATATGAAGAGGTGTTTTCTTTTTAGAGCTTTGCTGGAAAGCACTTTGTACACTCAGCCTCACTCCACGCTGGTCACGCTGCTCCCAAGAATGCTTCTTTCTCACCTGGCATCTTAACTTCCTCCTTTGCTGTGTCCTGGGATGTAGGTTTCATTTGTGGCCTAGGAAGGGGTGGAAAGGCCCAACTGCAGGGCAATTATTATTATTGCCAGCTCTCCTTTGACAAGGTTGTATCCATTTTTACATTTTCACCTGCCCTCCTGCCTGGGCAGCAAAAATCCTAGGAACTTTACTCCCAGCTACAGTGACTCCCATGCATTCCGATCCTACCTTTTCCCTTCAAATGCTAACTGGAGGCAGGTTTTCAGGGAGAAACAAGGGACAATCCAGAGTCACCAGGAGTCCAGGTTATGATGAGGAGCCCAAGAACCTGAATGTGTCCTCTGCCTGGGGTGCTTTCTCTGTTGTTGGAGAGCTTGCCCTAAAACCCCAATCTTCTCTTGGCTTCTAGCTGTGCCCATCTCCTCTGGGGAAGGCTATGGAACATCTGCTTAGGCTTTCTGGACAGGAAGAATGGAGGGCTGTTCAGCTAACCGCTGGGGCATCTTCAAGTATGTGGCCCTTGATGCACATCCCACCCCTCCGTCTCATGACCCTTCTCCCCCTTCCATCCCTTGAGGCCACCCAGGTCCTCAGGGGACCCCTACAGGTCTGTAAAGCTAGGAATGGTGCCCAGAGGTAGAGGGCATGCGTTCTGAAGTAGAGGGCCACCTGCATGTCTGCACCCCCATGTGATGCATATTCCCAGACACGAAGGGTGTGCAGTGTCATTGTCCCTGACTATTCTTTTGGTTGCAGCTTCTGGGTCAGCAACTGATGCCTATACTGAGAGCTGGTTTAGGTGAGTCCAGCAAAGCCAAGTACGTTTGAGTATCTCCATATAGGTACCTTGTGTGTGGGCATGGGGGGATTCACATCATAACCGCATATCTGCATGTGCATGAATGCCTCTGAACTCCTGTCTCCACACCCCCTCCCTGCCTTCCCTGACCTCCTATGTGTTCCCAGCATCAGGCCTCCTCCACACTCCGTGGCCTTGGAGACTGGTATCCAAGAGGAGAAATGGACCAGAGGAGCAGACACTTGGACTCTAGAAGAGTCCGCCATCTGACAGCCCATGGTGATGTCAGAGGGACAGAAATGCCCAGAGGTGAAGAGTTTCCAGCCCACACTACCCAGCTGGCCCCTGATGTGGCTCAAGGATCTCACCTCCAGGGCACTGCCGTTGAGCTGTATTCTGGCATGTGCCACCACCTTGGCCAGGATCGTCATGGTGGCCACCAGTGCCAATAAGTCAGTGGGTGAGGTCACCACCACTGCCTGCTCCAGCAGCTGAGCCAAGATCTGTGGTACCTCATCCACAGGCCAGCCCTGGCCTGCCCTCAGCAGCTGAGACAGATAAGACAGGAGGGGGGTGGGCGTGGGCGAGCCCTCAAGAGGGAGGGGCCTCCTCCTCCCCAGTCCAGCTCCTTTCTCCCCAGATCCGTGCCCTGTCCCAGGGGAGCAGGAAGCAGAGAGGGGAGCGAGCCACGTGGAAGAAACTGACACCAAGTTTTGTGGAGCAGACCCTTGTTGGGATTAAGGTTTGGGACCTGCACCCTCCCTGCCATGAGAACTCTGGCCACTCTGAGGGGCCCATACCTGCTTCCTGGCTCTGCCAGGGCTCCAGTTCAGAGAACTTGAATACCCTTCGGGCTGGGTCGCTGGGGGAAAGGACTCTAAAGTTGGGTCCTGAGTGAGGAAGGGATAGGTCGTGGAGGATGGGGCACGTGAGCAGCAGGGTCAGAAGCTTTACCCGGGCTCTAAGAAGCAAGGCCAGGAGCCCCGTGTCCGTGCAGCTGCTGTGGATGGGCCCCCAGATCCCCTCAGGCCTACAAGGCCTCTTCACCATGCCCCTTCTCTTCCTGGGACACGGGGCCTGTGCCACATGGCCAGCCTTGGTGACGTTCCAGGCAGTAGTTGAAGAGTCCTCAGGGCAGGTGGTGTCTCCATCTGAAAATGATACCAGGGAAGGCTCAGCAACACAGCCTAGCCCGAACCTTTCCTTGGGCAGAAACCCATGCAGTGTGTGGGGTCTGGCCCTGTTGCCCAGCACAGGGAGACATCAGGAAGCAGCTCCCAGGACAAGCAGGTGAGAGGTCAGCCACCTGGACCCCAAGCCCCAAGTACCTGGATGACAGTGATAGAGACGGCAACCCTGAGAGGGCTCAGTCCCGGGCTCTGCAGGTCACAAGTGTACGTAGTGCCGGCTGCAGGGCAGTGCTGAACAGCCAGCACAAAGCACTGGGAGTCCAGCGTGTTGAATAAGGAAGCTGAGGGGGAGACAAGAGGAGGGACCGGTCACTGGGCCAGGGACATACCGAGACCCCAGGGGTCCGAGAGGTGCCTCGGCTGTCTTTCTAGCAATTTCAGAAGTGGATGAAGCGCTGGAGATGAGCTGAATGGCATGTGGGCATCAAACTACTGAAGGAAGAGCTTGGATCCAGGGGGAAGGGGACCCTGGGCGTCTCTTACTAGTTCCAGGCCCTGAAGTCACAGTGAACTCGTTTGTAAAATGAGACCATCGTCAAATGAACCTCACAGAATAATATCGTGTGAGTTCACGGAGATTGTGTGAATGAAAGCATTATGTAAAAGTTGTCTACACACGTGTGCTTATCGTTGTATGAACAGAATTGGGGTAAAAACAGATTTGGACTTGGACCCCGAACGCCCAGGTTGAACTGCAGCCTCTGATTCCAGGGAGCTGGAGAGCCAGCTGCCTGGGGGCAACTAGCTGCCCGCTCTCCCCTGAGCTCTGCCAACCAGCCCCTTTCCATACCTTCGTTGCCATCTCTGGGGCTCCAGGAAGCCGTGTAGCCCAGGTGGGCACTGGGGATGCAGCAGCTCAGCTGGAAGCCAGGGTAGGTGGCACAGGAGATGGAGAGCTGGTCTGGGAGCCCAGCCACATCTGTCACCTGCAGAGGCACCCTCACCATCTGGTGCAGCTCCCACCTGAATCCCCAGGCCTCAAAGCAGCATATGTACTCACCTGCAGACACACACCTGCTGCACCTCCCGGCCGCTTGGCCCCCACCTGCGCCACAGGGTCTCTGCTGCTTCCCCAGCCACACCCTAGGTCTGCCCTCTCCATCCAGCCTCGGCTTAACCCCAGCAGGAAAGATCCCTGTCCCCCAAAGGATTTCTAGGAGGAAGATGAGATCCTGACCCTTTGTTATTAGCCTGTAGCCATGCATCCTAAGATGAACCTCTCTGCCCCCAGTAGATGCCCTTCCTGCACCACCCGCTGCCATTTCAACATCGTGAAGAAACACCTGCATCTGTTCTCAGTGGAAATTGAGACCACGCTTTCAGCGTTCTCTCATTATAATTCTTCACATCAATGAGCCTCTTAGCCTTAATTTCCCCAGAGTGAATAAATGGAGATAAGGGAAAAGAAGAGAAGACAAAAAGGAAGGAGAGGGAGGAGGAAAAAAAGAAGGGGAGGAGAGAGGAGGGAAGGACAGGTGGCCTACCTGCCCATTTATGGGAGATGTTGACAATGCTGAGGACTGCCGGTTCCGGCTGGAGGTCAAGGACACACGTGTCCCTGCTCGCAGGAGGATGCGGCTGGGGCTCCCTGTGGGCCACAGGAACCAGTTCAGGTTGGTGGTCTCCTGGCTTGTGAGGAGGGTCAGGTTCAGGGTGTCGCCAGGCGTCTGCAGCCAGGAGTTGAGGCTCAGGGCCGCGGGGACTGCGGGAGGCAAAAGATAGGACGCCCGGAGCAGGAACTTGTGGCCCTTGAGGCAGCTAAGCTCTCCCTCCTTCCCCATCTTCTGAAGCCCATCCCTCCTCCCTCCCTCCCCACCTAACATTTTCTGTTCTCTTTTGTCCCTGGAGGAGTGTGGCTGCCGCAGTCCAGCCTGGAAGACCCTAACTGTCAGTGGGAACCAAACGGGGAAGCTTTTTGGCCTAGGACTCCCCCTCCCCCAGGGAGGGAACTTTCTCTCTTTGTCCCCCTGTCTTGGAGCCCTGTTGTTCGTTAGAGTCCCCCTCCTCCTGTCCCAGGCACAGGGCCTGTGATCTGCTATGATGCCTGGCATTTTCTCTCACCCAGAGGAGCCACTGGGCTTGGACCAGCTGGCAGAGATACGGGGGTCAGAGAGGAAAAACCACAGAGAGGGTTCCTTTCACTCAGGGCCATTGGTTTTCACGTTCCCAACCCTCCTCACCAGGTGGCAGCAGCTGGCAGTACCCGGCTTCAGCAGGGCTGAAGACAAGGCAGCCACAAGGCCAGCGCTTGAGGGGGGTTTGGCAGGGTCGGTGATGGGAGCAGACGCTGGCGTTCCACTGGTACCCGGAGAGGCAAGCACAGTAGCTACACCCCTTGTGGGTGACATCGCACTCTGTGACAGAGGGAAGGGGGATAAGAAGTGAGCAGGCTGTCTGGGAAAGCCCAACGCCTGATGCCTGTGAGGCTCTAAGGCTGGGTATCGGGAACAATCCCAAGGTCACAGGCACTGCCTTCTCAGCCTGAGTTCAAAGTAGCATCGCGTGTGGGGCAAAGGCATCAGAGGTGGCAGTGGCGAAGCCCGTGGCCATCTGCCCCTTAGGCCTCTGCCAAAGTTTAGAAGATGGGACGTGGGGCAGGAAGGGGAGGTCTGTCTGATGGGAGGTGAGGAAGGAGCTGGGCCACACAGACCCTCCAAGAAATAGGGAGGGGCTCACAGTATCTCAGACGACGGGGCTGCGGGAGGGCTGGGCTCCTTGCACTCTGAACCCCCTTCCCATGCAAGCAGCTAAGAGCCACTGAGAAGCAGGGGTCAGTAGAATACCTGCCACCCCACCGGCTGTGAGGCTGAGGCCAGTGAGAGTTACTGGGGCAGAGGAAGCCGAGGAGGTGGGGAGAGTCAGGGGCCCGGAGAGTGCCACCGGCCGGCGCTCACTTGAAAAGTACAGCTGTACATAGACGGAGACCAGGACCGATTCTGTAGGAGAGAGGGGACAGCTGGAGAGGAGAGGCAGCTACGGGCCTGTGGCCTTTGGGCCCCATACCTCGCTGTCCCTGCCAGGAAGCAGAGCACATCGCACCTCCCATAGCCTGTCCAGGTGCAGACAGGACCCAGGAAGGTGGTCACTGCTCATCCAGCGACGGTGCTTTCACACGCGCTGTCTCATATCACCCTCCCAACGACCCCCTTACATGGGCAAGACTCTAAGAGGAAGGATTTTCTCAAGGCCTCACAGCTAGAGAACTGCATTCAGATCTGTGTACCAGCGCCAGACCCAGTCTCTCTCTTAACCCCACTTAAGCCCCCTGGCTGTGTCCTCTTCCAGACCTTTCTTTCTTTGCCTCGTTCCAGGCTCCCCGTCCCCCTCCCCCCTCCTCCTCCTGTCTGTCCACTCACCACCTGTTCCACGTTCTTGGTCCAATTGCTGCCGATTCCCCTCCAGCCTGACCCTGTCCCTGGAACAGAGCACAGGGGAGAGACCTCTGAGGAGAGCTGACTCCGCATTTCTCCCGGGGACACATTCTTCCCCAAGCCGCTCAGGGGCCAGCCTGGCTAATCTGGAAGGACTTGGTCTCTTTGAAGCTCCTCTTTTTGCCTGGAATCAAGGCACCTCAGGAGGGGGAAGCAGGCTTCTGGTAGGAGGTGCAGGGATGCAGCACCAGGGATCCCGCCCAGGCCTGCAAAGCCCACCTGAACCCAGGAACCAGGCACACCCTGGAGAGTCAACATGCTTTGCTTAATTCCTTCCTGAATGTACCCGTCCCCGTGCCTCCAGGCCAATTGAAATAGCTGGGTCTGGAGCTCCAGAGGGGGCTGGGGGCGCTGGGCAGAGCTGCCTGCGGCCCAGAGGCCTGGGGGCTTTATTCCCTCCATAGGCATTGCCATGAGGGTGAGTGGCAGGCAATACCTTAGTCTCTGGTGCCTGTAAGTTATTTCCTCACCAACTTCCTCCCTCTCTCAAAACTGTGTGTGGGTGAGGAGATCAGTCTAAAAACAGATATTGATCTAGATAAGGATGTGGCTAGAGACAGAGATAGAGATATCCACCTGGGAGAAAACACAAATCATAAAGTGCTAAACTAACTACGCTGCCTTTCCTCAGATTCTCTCCTGTCCTCTACGCCAATGGTTCCCAAGTTTGGAAAGTGTTTATTTTCATTTTTAAATTGCAAGCCTGACTGGAAGGGCCTTTATCCAAAGTGCAGCAGGCATCGCTGGTGTTCACGGGAATTCAAATAAAGAAACAAAAGCTATCCCCACACCCTGAAAAATAAGGCTGAACTCTCAGAGATCTTATAACAAACCAGCCTCTTTTAAAAATACATTACTTCCTCTCCCTCCAGCCCTCTCGCCTCCATCCATCCTTTCATCCCACATCTTGCTGCCTCTCACACCCAGAGGCCCCTGTCGTTACCTCTGCAGATCTTCCCTCCGTCTTCCCTCACCCCAGCCTTACTCACAGGCTGGGACTCTCGGGCAAGTGGTGACCCCACCAGAGGGAGAGTCATGGCCAGGAGTAGCACAGGGGCAGCCGAGCAGACCATGGCTCAGTGAAACAGTCTTCAAAAGGCCTCCGGCTGCTGCATGATGCAAATTTCCTCAGAGAAGAGCTGGCAGGGCCGGGCACAGATGGGATGGGAGGGAAGAGTGGAAGGGAGCCAGAGGAATTTACAGAGGAAGTGCTACAGCCCATGCTACAGTCAAATGGGCGTCCAGGTCACTGTGGGACCACCTGGAGCCCACATGCCCCGGTGAGAGAGGCCTGCCCAGGTTCCCTGCTGGGGTCTCGGCCAAGCACTCAGTGAGCAGGAGAGGACTTGAGGGCCCTAGGTCACAACCAACCATGTATCAAGCCAGGTACAGTCACATCCCCAAGGATCTGGGAAATCTGGATTGTTTTGGAACTCCCAGGAAGCTGGGTCATTGATGAAAGAGCCAAGTTTAGAAAAGGCAAATAAATTTTAGAGCTGATTGCTATCCTAAAATAATTTTAAGATAGACTGGAGTCTTAAGTGTAACAAAGAATCTGGAAAAATACCGGGATGAATTATCAAAATAATTTTAAAGTGAGGAAGGCTTTTCTAAACACAACACAAAACCCAGAAGCCAGAAAGGAAATAAATTAGACTGTATACAAAGTTTTAAATTTGGGGTGAAAAGAATGTTGGGTTAAAAAGGCAAAAGACAACATATTTGTAGGACGGTGATTGAATAAAGGGCTAATCTTAACACAGGAATTTTTTATCTTACACATCATTAAGAAAATGGGCAAAAACAGGAAAAGGTGTTGCCGAAATATCGGCTTCCCCGTGCACCAAGGCCAAACAGAAATACGGAGACGGATATTGGAGGAAGAGAGAGATGGCTTTATTTTTCTGCCAGGGAGAAGGGAAGACACAGCAGGCTAGCGCCTCAAGAACTGTGCCTCCACTCCTTGGGAAACAGGGAAGATTTTATATGTGGGGCTCTAGTCCAGAGTATATGATAAGGATCAAAGGTCTTGCATTCTTCCTTTCCTTTGCATTATTTCAAAACAGTCATGGCTGGCCTCAGGCCGCCTGGTAATTGGGGTCCAGCAGTCTGGTAATTGTGCCTGTTTGCCTCTGGTTTATCGGCCGGTGACTTTGTTTCTGAAATGCGAAAACTATAGGGGGTGATTTGTTATGGGGGGCATATAGAATATAAGTGCTGGGACATAATAGGGAGTGAGACGCACCGGATGTAACTCACACAGTTAGGGGTGATAGGTGACGAATGTAAATTACAGTGTCAGGGAGTGAGGTTAGCTTTGTAAAGTACAAATCTAGTTACTACAGATTAGTGACAGTTAAAGTAAACCAAGGAGTGATTAACTCTTTCAGGCCAGGTTATGTTTCTTCTCTAGCCTGTTCACTGTTCCTTTTATTTTCCTTGTTCTAAGAGGAGGGAAAACTTCATTTCTATTTTTGCTGCAACACAGGCAGTTTACTGAAAAAGAAATATCAATAGTTTGATAAACATATAAAAACATCCAACTTAAGATATAAGAAATGCAAACTGAAATAAAATATTCTTTGTCACCTACCAATTATCAAAAGACAAGATATTGATAATCTTCAGTGTTGACAAAAGTGTACTTATACAAAATATGTATATAAGGATGTTCAAAGCAGAGTTGTTTGTGATAGCAAATGAGTTAAACAACCCAAATGTTCAAAAGGGATAGGTTAAGTAAATTATGGCATTTCCAAACAACAGAACATTTTTATGGGAAAAAAGTAAAATAGCTCTATTTCGAGTGAACCCCAATATATATGGTGAAATTTAAAGTGTATATTATACTCTCCTTTATGTAAAAAAAAGGGAATCTATATTAGATACTTGTGCTTTTTATACTTGGAATATTTCTGGAAGAATACATCAGAAATCTGGCAATAGTTGTTGCTTCCGGGAATGAGACTAAAAGTCTGAATGGGTCTGTGTGCTGTTTGATATACATATTTTCTAACCATAGGTGTGCTTTTTTTTTTAATTAAAAAAAGAAAGATGGAAATTCTCTGGTGGTCCAGTGATTAGAACTTGGTGCTTTCACTGTGGGGCCTAGGTTCAATCCCTGGTTGGGGAACTAAGATCCCACATGTCACGCAGTGAGGCCAAATTAAAAGAAAAAAAAAGAGCTGATTTATACACACACACACACACACACACACACACACACACACACACACACACACAGCACCTAGGGTAGAAATCTAGCCTCAGTACATTTCCACTTTCACCACCACCCCTGGCTAAGGTCACTGCTGAAAGAACAGCAAACATATAGAGCACATACATGCATGGGAGCAAAAACTTTGTAAATAATTGATTTCCGAAAACATGAAAATGGTGAAGAATCCGTTTTGAGAACCACAGAGAGAAGACACAGGCGCTTGGGGTGGGGCGCTATCAGCAAGTTGGAAACTGTCTACTGCAGCTGCACGTGGTTTCAGATGGACACCAACAGCATCTGCTACAGTAGCCAAAGGGGGTCAGTCAGAGAGCCAAGTGGACCTGGGCAGTGCTCAACAGGGCCTCTTGAAGACCAGGAATGACAGAAGAAAGAGGTGGGATTGAGACCCCTGGAGGTGAGCTGCTTCTGTGCTGGGCAGAGACTGAGCAGTGGTAGCCTCCAGTTAGGAGATGCAAGGACAGACTGCTTGGAAAGAAGACGCTCCACCCAGAAGCAGAAACACCGAAGGAAAAAGTGACTCAGAGAACATTAGAAAGTTGATGGAGCTGGAGCTGGAGAAACCCCTAAGGATTCTACTCCCAAAACATAATTTTTCTTAATTGATACCCTATTCATCTTAACCCCTTTGAGTTCATGACAAGTGAGAAGAACAAGAGAGATAACATCTTCCTGATTTAATGAAAGTTGAGGTGTCCAAGGTATATAAAACAATGAACAGAACTAAGGAAGTGAGTTTTATTATACAATATTTTTAGACCGTTCCTGTAACTTTAGAGAAGTTTGAATCGTTTCTGCATGTACAAAAAAATGCCCAGGAAGAGATTGGAAGGAGATGCTGCAGATCAACAAAGTGTCTGTTGTGTTGACCTCAGTGCTCCCCAGGGCCTAGCACCATTCACCACAGGCCTTAAGTAATATTTATATTCAATAAATCAATCAATAGATAAAATACACCAAGACATTAACAGTAGTTGTCACTAAATGGTAGGATTTGGTATGTTTTTTTCTATTTTTCTGTGTTTTTAAATTTTGTATTCTCTAATGGTAAAATATCTTAATAAAAAAATCAAATCTTACAGTCTCAACTCCTTGCTTAAGGACCAACCAGGTACAGAGTCCTTCAGTTTTGCCCAGGTGTCACTGGTTGTCTGGAAGCACCCACAGTCTTAGACCTAGTGTGGGATTCAGACAAACAGATACTTCTTGCTGCCATCTGCTTACTCCCAAATCCAAGGTCAACCCTAAGGCTATTGGCCTTTTTTTTTTTTTAGGCTATTGGCCTTTATCCCTCTATATACAGAATGATAATTTGAAACCAGTAAGTTTTTATCCCTGTTGGGAGCTTTTCTGAGGTCCCAGTTTGCACCCTGGGCAAAGGAACTTCCCTCTGTGTTTTGAGCCCTCCAGGCCATGTCAGTAGAGTCTTTGGTAACAAAGGTCTAGGCTTCTCTTAACTGTATCCAAACAGGTTATCTTAAAACTTCCTTTACTATGTAAACTAATAGGTTACTAAAGAATAAAGGTAGCTTAGACTTTTATCCCATATGAATCCTTATTTCTTTTTTTAAATCTTTTTTTTATATAAATCTATTTTATTTATTTATTTATTTATGGCTGCATTGGGTCTTCGTTGCTGCGCGCGGGCTTTCTCTAGTTGTGGCGAGCGGGGGCTACTCTTCGTTGCAGTGCGCGGGCTTCTCATTGCGGTGGCTTCTCTTGTTGCAGAGCACGGGCTCTAGGCACGTGGGCTTCAGTAGTTGTGGCATGCAGGCTCAGTAGGTGTGGCGCACGGGCTTAGTTGCTCTGCAGCATGTGGGATCTTCCTGGACCAGGGCTCGAACCCGTGTCCCCTGCATTGGCAGGTGGATTCTTAACCACTGTACCACCAGGGAAGCCCTTTTTCTTTTTTTTTTCGAATTTTTGAAAATTGTTTTGGAATTTTATTTTATTTATTTTATACAGCAGGTACTTATTAGTTATCCATTTTATACATGTTAGTGTACACATGCCAATCTCAGTCTCCCAATTCATCACACCACCACCACCACCCCTGCCACTTTCCCCTCTTGGTGTTCATATATTTGTTCTCTACATCTGTGTCTCTATTTCTGCCCTGCAAACTGGTTCATCTGTACCATTTTTCTAGGTTCCACATATATGCATTAATATACGATATTTGTTTTTCTCTTTCTGACTTACTTCACTCTGTATGACAGTCTCTAGATCCATCCACGTCTCTACAAATGACCCGATTTCATTCCTTTTCATGGCCGAGTAATATTCCATTGTATATATGTGTCACATCTTCTTTATCCATTCGTCTGTCGATGGGCATTTAGGTTGCTTCCATGACCTGGTTATTGTAAATAGTGCTGCAATGAACATTGGGGTGCATGTGTCTTTTTGAATTACAGTTTTCTCTGGGTATATGCCCAGTAGTGGGATTGCTGGGTCATATGGTAATTCTATTTTTAGTTTTTTAAGGAACCTCCATACTGTTCTCCATAGTGGCTGTATCAATTTACATTTCCACCAACAGTGCAAGAGGGTTCCCTTTTCTCCACACCCTCTCCAGCATTTGTTGTTTGTAGATTTTCCGATGATGCCCATTCTAACCAGTGTGAGGTGATACCTCATTGTAGTTTTGATTTGCATTTCTCTAATAATTAGTGATGTTGAGCAGCTTTTCACGTGCTTCTTGGCCATCTGTATGTCTTCTTTGGAGAAATGTCTATTTAGGTCTTAGGGAAGCCCTTTTAAAAATCTTTATTGGAGTATAATTGCTTTACAATGTTGTGTTAGTTTCTGCTGTATGACAAAGTGAATCAGCCA